GTGCAGGACCCCTCTTCCCTGTGGTCAGCTTAGTGTGAAACGAGCCCCCACCCCTCCCCCTGGACCAGTCTTGGCCTTGGCTCTTGGGCACAGCAGCTGAGGCTTGTAGGCCCCGATGGGCTGCCCCAACCTGGATGGGGTGGTGGACCAGGACTGCGGGGAGGGCCCCCAGTCATCAGTATCACGCCCAGCATGTGGACCCCGGCCCAGGTCCAGCTGGCTGCCGGCCGGGTGGGGTCCCTGTCCTCAGGGCCGGGCTGTGTGCACTCAGCATCTCCTCCGGCCCCCCCTCAGGGAAGGGGGATCCCGGGCCAGGGTCCCAGCCTGGGCCGCCCAGCTCTAACCGGTTTTCCCCCGCCCCAGCCCACCCCCAAGCGCACGCAGCTACGCACCCACCCGCCCACTCACCAAGCTGCCCAGTGCCTCCCAGGCCCCGAGCCCGGAGCCGGGGCCCCAGGACCAGATGTGGCCCCTGCCCTCTGGGGCCCTGCTCTCGGGGTGGGGACGGGAGTGGCGGTCACGGCTGTGTGGCCGATCGATTTCTGGCCTCATCAGCCAGGCCCTGGGGGGTGGGGGGAGCTGGGCCAGGGATGGGCCACCTGGGTCCCCTGGCCTCGAGGGGTCCCTGGGGCGGCCCCGCCAGGGTCTGTGGTGTCCAGGCCCACGCAGCTGCCCCTCGGGCCTCCTGCCTGCTGCCCACCCTCCCGGGGCTGTGCCCTCCGCCTGCCCACAAGCCGCCTGGTCACTCCTACGTTTGCAGGAGGCAGCGGCATTTCTCCGGATCTCAGCCTCCCTAAATTATGTGCTGCTGCTACAGGGAGTATTTTCTTTAAAAACAGGATGGATGTGAGAAAAACAACAATACCCCAAAACCACACTCAAGGGGTGGATCGGGCTGGCTCGTTAGCGCTGAATAATCGAGCTGCAACCTCACTGATGGGAAACAAAAATAAACAACCCACCGGGGCACCGGGGCTGGGGGCTTCCACATGCAGCGCCGCCCCCCCCAGTTGGTACCTGGGTCCCAGGTCCCAGACGGCAGGGGTGCGGGCGTCTTGGAGGGGCCTGCCTTATTCCACCGCCTCTGCCGGGCACTGGCCCTAGGAAAGGTCACTTGGAGGTGGTGCCCCTGGCGGGCATGGAGGAGGTCAGGCCTTCCAGCCCCTCCCAGGGACGAGACCCTTTGTGGTAACCGGAACCCCACTCGGTAATTCAAGCTTGCGTCCCCCTGCTCCATCCTCAGTGAAGATGGACAACAGCTGGCCGTCTCTCTTTTTCCAGTAAATCCCATCCGACTGTACCGCCGGGGAGGGATCAGCCAGCTCAGCTGTCCAGCCGGAGGAGACGGGCCAGGTCTCCGTCAGCCCTGGGCTCTCGAGGTCGAACGGGAAGAACCAGGCGGGAAGCCCGCGGCGCAGCAGCCCCCTTCAGCCCCGTCTTCGTGTGGGTGGTGGGCGCACTGTGCCGGTGGGAGGGCCGGGGCCTGGGGGGCGGCGACCACCGCTTTGTGCAGCCAAGTCCCCGCCGCATTGTGTACTGGGCCGAACTTTAGCTCACAATTTGGGATTAGAGCAAATCCGAGTATTTTTCTGCATGCCTGCCCGCTCCCGGGCGCCCAGAGCCTGCTGGGTAACTGCCTATTATCCACCGGTTCCACTCCAGTGCCCTCCCCAATAAAACTTTTCATATCCTTATAAACGAACTCGATTGCCGTGTTATAAACATTTACACTGTGCTAACAGATCATCTCCGCACATCAGAATTGGCTAAATTCCCTTTTCCAGATGAATATATTGAAGGAGATTAGAGATATGATAGCTTTTCAGATTGCTGAACCCAGAGAAATTAGTTTAGTGAGCATTTACAGAGGCTAAATTGGAACCATTAAATAGTGGATTAAATTGATGGCACTTTCATTGTCTGTCCTTCGGTACCGCTGTAAAATCAATTAGCCGTCACCAGCCCATTCTCCATATAGTGAGATTGTCATCCTCCCTGGAAGCTGATGCAAAACCTCCCAGCGGTGGTGATGGGTGTGAAGACACACCTATTAGGTAGCGCGGGGCAGGAAATAGCATCAGGGACCCTGGTTGCCCCGGGGCAGGGCCCTGCCCACCGCCCAGGCCTCCCCGTCTCCCCAGCCTCTGCATTGTGCATTGGGGGGTGGGGCAGGGGAGCAACTCCGGAGGCAATGGGGTCAGGAGAGTGGGTGCCTGCAAGCGTGGTTGGGCCCTAAGTGAGGCGGAAGGCAGCACGTGTCTGCAGGAAGTCTCAGCCTTGGCACGGAGGACATGGAGGGGGCTTGGGGGCTGCCTGGAAGCGGCTCTGGCCCACGTGACTCCTGCTCTGCTGAGAGCCTTACTGAGCAGCAGTGCAGACAAGCGGAGATCCCAGTGAACCCTCGTCGTGGCCCCGGTGGGGGAGCAGGCCCTGTTCTTGTCCCCAGTTCTCAGAGGAGGAAACTGAGGCTCATTCAGCCCAGTGGCCGGCCTGACGCCCACAGAGAGGCCTGCAGCCTAGAGCAGCCGTCCTGGGCTGAGACGCTTGGGCTACGCCCAGTTCCGGGAGAGCAGGGCCTACCTCACTCACCCAAGTTCAGGACCAAGTGACCCTCGGGGCAGAGGAGCAAGCTGGGAGGAGCCGATGGCCCAAGTGAGCACTAGGGTGCTTGCTGTGGGAGGGGCCGTGGCGGGGGGCGGCCTGGGGACGGGGTGGGGGCAGGGAGCACCCCCATGCCCCTGCAGAATTCAGACAACTGGCTCGGGGCCGTGGGGCTGAGCGCTGCAGCCCCACCTCGTGTTGAGGGGGCGCTGAGGCCCGGAGCCCGTAGTCCGGGCAGCAGGAGGCCGCCGGGTGGACGGTTGGCCAGTTCAGTGACTTGGTTTGTGGCCAGTCCTATTTAACTCGGCCAGTGTCGAAGGCCCGAAGGTGCCTCCCCCAAACTCTCTCTGGACACACATTTTCTTTGTTTTTCGTTTCTACCCTTCATGGCTCGCAGGATCTCCTTTCCCTGACCAGGGACTGAACGCGGGCCCCTGCAGTGGAAGCCCAAATCCCAGGCACTAGACCACAGCGAACCACCTGGATGCACGCTCTAGATGCAGGAGGACAGGCCGTGCTTTGGAGACGGTGGGCAGGGGGCCCATGGAGTCTGGATGCAGGGACGGGGTAGCTGGTGGCCCTGTGCCCTGTGCTGGGCTGGGGACCAGGGCTGCTGGGGGCACCCGGGCCTGGTGGTGGCCTGAGCTCTGCTGTGTGGTCTCCCAGGAGCCTCAGTCCCACTCTGGAGCTCAGCTCGGAGGTCAGGCTGCTCTGACCCCCCGCCCTCTCGGTCAGGCCGGGAGTGCCCCACTGGCTCTTGTGGGCCATTGGGCTTCCCCCCATCATGGCAGCCATGACACCAGGTAGGACTCTAGGTTGGTCTGCGAGGAGACCATCTACCCGTCTCCTCCAGGTCCCATGGGTCCAGCCCATTTGAGCGATGGGGAGGCCAGGCCAGCTGTTCTGATGGCCACAGGCAGGTCAGTGAGGACGTGAGTGGGATGCAGTGGTCTGGGGAACCCTGGGCCCAAGCGCAGGGGAGGGAGGCCTGCCCTGGAGCTGGCCAGTAGCAGACTGGCTGCCTCCCCGGTGACCAGAGTGTGCAAGAGGTCTCCTGGCTGCAAGAAGGTGGCCCCGGGCTTCTCAAACCCTTTGGGGAGCATCCTGGAGCACCCCACAGCGCTGTCCCCCAGACCCTGGACGGCAGTGCTCCACCCCAGTGCTGTCCCCCCGACCCTGGATGGCATCACTTCATCCCACGGACGGGAAACAGGAGAGAATGGGCGTGGGCAAGCTCGCACAGCCAGACGGAGGGGAGCTGGGCTTCTTGCACAGACTCGGTGGCCCCTGCCAACTCCCGTGGGGTCCCCACCCTAGTTTGGTGAGCTAGCCCGGGTCAGCACGAGCTAGCATGGCCATCAGGACCCTGTCCCAATGTCTGGGGGTTCCATAGCCCTTCCCAACCCTCGACCTGGGCTCCTGGGGATGCGGGAGGCTGGTGGACAAGCCCGTCTGTGAGACTTCTCAGAGTCTCATGCAGCCAAGATATGGACAGTGGTCGGGCAGGCTGAGCCCCTCTGGGCCGGGCTGGGCCTTTGGCCGAGGCCAGGGGGTGTGTGCAGAGGCCACGGGGGACCAGAGAAAGGTGGAAGGGAGCGGGCCGACGGAAGGGGCCGCATCCGCCCAGACGTCCAGGCCTGGGGAGGGCCCTCAGCCAGCTCCTTCGGAGGGTGGTGGGGACACGCTACTGGACAGAGGCCAAGCGGCTGTCCTGGGGAGAGTGGACGGCCTGCTGTGGGGAGACCGCATGCAGAGCTGGGCCTGGACCACAGAGGTGTGAGGTGCAACCCCAGGGATGGGGTAACTGAAGCACAGTGGACAGTGCTGGGCGCACACCGGCATGGTCTCGGGGCCCCCAGGCCCCTGCCCCGGCCCCTGCAGGGTCCCAGAGCCCAGCCTGTCCTCACTTTCCTGACCCCTGGCTTCCGGCTGCTCTGAGAGCCGGCAGCCCTAGGCTAGCTGAGAGGCCTGTGTTCCAGCAGATCAGCGCCCCCCCCCCCCAAACTAAGAAACACACTGCAGGTTTCACCTGAGCCCAGCAAGTGGGCAAGAGGCCTCACAGAAGAGCCAGACGGAGGGGGCGGCTGGGGCGGCCTGGGCGGGGGCGGCTGCAGCCTGCTGGGGAGTCCAGGTCAGAGACCCCGCGCTCCCAGCGACGGCTGTGGGCGGGCGCCGGGCTGGGAGGGGTCCCCGGTGTCTGCCCGGCTCCTCAACTCCCTCCTGGGTCTCCTCGATCCCTAGAGGCCTCGAGGGTCTTCTCGTCCCATCTTACAGACGAGGAGACTGAGGCTTGGGAGAGGAGGGCCTTGCAGGGTCTCAGAGAAGCAGCGAGCAGCCCCCTGGGACTGGGACCCCGGCAGCCGGCCTGGTGCGGAGGAGCTGGGCCTTGTGTTTTTCAGATGTGGGAGCCGTGGCCCAGAGAAGGGCAGGAGCCTGCTGAAGCTGCAGGGAAGCCGGCCTCCCGTCCCGGCCTGGGGCTCTGCAGTGTTTGCAGGCCCTGCCCGGCCCAGCCTGGCCCGGGGCAGGCGGGGGTCCTCACAGCTGCTGGGTAAGTTCTCCAGCAGCTGGGGGCGGGCCCTGCGGGGTCAGGTGAGAAGGGTGGCCGCGGGAGTTCTCGCAAACAGACGGGTGGCCCGCTGCCCCCACCAGCCACGGTGATCTCAGAGTGAGGAGGCCTGGTGCCCGCGGCCCGCCTCCCCCCCTCCCCCCCGGGGAGGCCCGAGGACCCTCCTCCCACCCGCTCCGTGCCGGGAGCGCCTGCTGTCTGCACGGGGCGCAGGGGCCACACCGCTTCCCCCAGAGCTTCCAGGCTGGGGTTCCGGGGGTCCCCCCGCTCACCCCCGCCAGGGCACACTTCCAGGAATGGCCGCTGCCTGCAAGGAGGACCCGGGCAGGGGCCGGCTGGCCGTGTGGGCTCAGCCGCGTGTCACGGGTAAGTGCCTCCGCCCCCTGGGCCTCAGTTTCCTCCCTGGACGGTGACGGGGCCCCTCCCGCCCTGTCCCCTCCCCCCCTCCCCCTCCCCCAGGGGCTGCCGGGAGGAGCGGGAGCGGGGCCCAGCCAGCAAAGATGAGACCGCAAGGTGTGTTATGGTTGTCACGCCTGTCACAGGCGGAGTTTCACGCTCGGCCCGCGGGGCCTTTCATCACCTGGGCCTCGGCTCCCCACTCCGGACAGTGTTCATCTGGCCATGATGAATGGCTGCAGCTCTGGCTGGAAGGCCTGGGAGAGAGGAGACAGAGAAGCCAGGCAGAAGCTCCAAGGCACAGGGGGCCAAAGGGGTGCGGCCGCCTGCCGGGGAAGGGCCCCTGCTCCACCCAGCCATCCCTCTGCCCGAGCAGGAGAGCAGGGCAGGAGGTCCTGAGCATACCTCCTGAGACATCTGACATCGGGCGGAAACCCAGGCTGGCCCCGCAGACGGGCACCCGTGTCTTGGGCCCAGAGGTGCTCTGAGGCTTCGGGCAGCCCCCGAGACGTGGCCGGGTCCGGGGTGCGGGGCACCGTGAGGGGCAAGAGCAGAGGGCCCTCTGTGCACAACTTCCGGGGTGTTCCTGCCTCAGACGCGTGGCCTGACTGCGCCCCGTCACTAGGGGACCCCACAAAGCCGCAGTGAGGACGTCCCGTGGAACAGCCAGTGCTCTGGACAGAACGGCATCGCGAAAAGGACCGAGATGTGGTCCCAGGAGGACGGGGAGGACGGGGAGGACGGGCACGTGCGGCGTGGAGTCCTGAGGCCAGACGTGGGGCTCAGCGGGACGACCGGTGACCCTCGAGTAAGGCCCGGGCGGGGAGTTTTGTCCACTCTCGGGGTGCAGGGCCAGCCCAGGCCGGCTGGCAGGAGTCGACCGTTAATCAGGACTTTTGCAAACCAGCTGAAATTACTGAGCTCGACCGTGGTGGGCGTCTTTACACTACGGACATCGGCAAGTGGGCTCTCAGGGAGCCGGGTAACAGCTTACACTCACACTCCACTTCTGTGAGGAGAAGCTGGCTGAGGGCCAACCGGAATCCTGTGCACGATTTTGCAGCCTTTTTCCAAGTCTGAAATTACTTCTAAATAAAAAGTTCTTTAAAAATTCTAAGATCAGAGACTTAGCTCCTGGCAAACCAACTCCATCTCTGTGTCCTCCAGAAGTGTCAGACACTGTCCACGCCTGACACTCTCTTCCCTCAGCTCTGGGTAACCACATCTCCTGGCTTCTTTCTTTTCCTCAGTCCATTTCAGCTTTTAAAATAGGCTCTACTTTCTTCTATTCATCCATCCATCCATCCTTCCCTTCACCTATTCACCCACCCATCCACCCATCCACTCACTCATCTGTCTAGCATCCATCCATCCATCCATCCATCATCCAGCCATTCACCCGTCCACTCGCCTTCACATCTATCCATTCATCCTCCCTCCTCCCCTCTATCCCTCCATCCGTCCATTTACTGTGTTTTTTGAGCAACGTAAATGCAGGGGATTGCTCTGGTTTATGGCTCAGTAATGAGTAAAACAGACAGAGACCCTGACCTCCTAGAGTTCATGTACCAACAGGGAGAAAAGCAAGCCAGCAAGAAAAGAGGGAAGGGACGCGGTGCAATGGGGTAGGGGTGGGGGGAAGAGACATAAAGCTGGGAGCTGTGGCTGCCCGGCCCCCCGGCCCTCAGCACATCCCAGGGTTCATGATCATGCCCTCCCCTCCCCCCACCGCCGAGATTCACGGTCAACTCCAAGCCTGCGACCACCTCATTGTTTGACACAGACACATGGCAAGAGCGAAGTGACTTAGACAGTGTTTGACAGACCCCAACGTCCAAGGGCAGGCATGCTCTTGAAACCAGGATCCCCAGTTCAGAGGTGCAGGGAGACGGGGCCCCCTTGTCAGGGGTCCTAGAAGCCAGGCTGGCCCTGGCAAGGAATTTGGCAGCATGAATTTGGCACTGTGGAAACACTCGGCGCCTTTGACACAGTAATGCCACATGTGGGAGGCTCTTCCAAGGAAATTATCCAAAATATGGGGAGAGTGGTAGCCTAAAGATATTCACTGCAACATTATTTTTAATGACCAAAAAAAATTGGAAGCAGCTGAAATGTCCAACAATCGGGGAGTAGTTTAGAAAATTATAGTCCACAGACTCAATGGAATACTAGATGGTCATTAAAAGTGATAATTACGAAGACTGGGCCGTAATATGCAGACGTGTCCGCAGTGTAGGCTGAGGGGGAGTAGCGTATAGAATTATGTGTACATTAGGGGTGTAATGATGTAAGAAACATATGCAGTGGGAGAAAGCCTGGGAGGGGATTGAGCAGCAGAAGACGGCGTGGTGGGCTGGGGAGACAGAGGGCGACTGCTGTTGGCTGTTTTCTGACTTTAAACTATGGTATCGCGTTAGAGACTTAGGATTCAGGCATGTGGTGGCTCAGATGGTCAAGAATCTGCCTGCAATGCAGGAGACCCAGGTTCGATCCCTGGGTCGGGAAGCTCCCCCGGAGGAGGGAATGACAACCCACTCCAGGATTCTTTCTTAGAGAATCCCATGAACAGAGGAGCCTGGTGGGCTGCAGTCCATGGGGTCGCAAAGAGTCAGGCATGACTGAACGACTATCACACACACCTCGCTTTACTGTGCTTCGGGGTCTGTGGGGACCTGCGTCCAGGGACTCTGGTGGTGCCGTTTTTCCAAGAGCACCTGCTCATTTCATGTCTGTGCCTTGTTTTGGTAATTCTGGAACTATTTCAAACCCTCCACCAGTCCAAAGACTGCAACTTGAAGGCTCAGGTGATGGGTAACATCTTTTAGCAAAGCTTATTTTTCATAAAGGTGTGTCTGTCGTTTTTTAGACATAAGGCTACTGCACACTTAATAGACCGCAGTGTGGGGTAAACACAATTTTACCTGCACTGGGAAACCGAGACGTCGGCGTGACTCGCTTTTCTTCAATGCCCGCCTCTTCCTGGTGCCCTGGAGCCGCACCCACAGCATCTCTGACATGTGCCTGCACTTAATGAACGGAGTTACTGCAGGATGTCGGGACGGGGGAGTTTTGTCTTCTTTTTTGCGCTTTTCTGGGTTTCCCAAATGCTCTCCTACAAAGAGGAGGCTCTGGTCCTATGGTGGGAGGAGGTGGGGTGGGGCCAAAGAGTGTCAGGGTGGCTGGGGTGGGGTGCCACCTCTCATGGGGTCACTGGCACAGGGACACCCTTCCTGTCCTCAGATGGGCCATCTGGGTGGAGGAGCAGGTGTGCCCGCAGGGTCCTGGGGGTGGACTGGGCCCTGGTGGGATCACAAGCTGCCCTGAAGGAAGGGCTGGGCATCCTGGGGTGTCCCCATCACAGGAAGCCTCAGGCCAAGGTTCTGGGCTGTTATGCAGGGGTCTCCACCCGGAGATCAGGAGGTCAGAGGGCTGTGGGGTGCACTCTAGGGGATGCAGAGATCAGCTGGAGGTTGTTCTGTGCCTACCCTGCCCAGGTGTTACCGGCACCAGCTCATTCATGCCGAGAGTTAGTTAGTTAGTTAGTTAAGTCACTCAGTCGTGTCTAACTCTTTGTGACCCCATGGACTGTAGACCACCAGGCTCCTCTGTCCATGGGATTCTCCAGGCAAGAATATTGGAGTGGGTTGCCCAAGCCTCTTTTTCAGAGGAGGAAATGGAGGCTTGGAGACCTCAGGTAACCTGCCTGGAGTTGTGCAGCTGGTAAGTGGGTAAGCACCACAGGAACGGCTCTCCTAGGATTGTGCAGTGTACAACTGGCACCACCGTCCAAGACCTGTATCAGGGTTCAACCCAGGTCAACCTGAGCTCAGAGTCTGGGCTTTCCCATGTGGCCCCAGGTCCTGTGCCAGAACCAGACAAATGAGATGTTGTCCTAGTCCTCAGGGAACTCAGAAACTAGAGGGAAAGAGGAGAGTCTAAGGCCAGACCACCCTGAACACGCCCGGTCTCGTCTGATCTCGGGAGCTAAGCAGGGTCCGGACTGGTTAGTACTTTCATGGAAGAGAGAGAGGAAGGAAGATGATAATGATGATGCCGGTGCTAATGGTGAAGACATCGAGGCTCCTGGTGGCGAAGGTGATGGTGGTGACGGTGACCAGCGTTTATTCAGTGCCCTGGGCACTGACTGTCTTCCAGAGAAAGCATGTGGGTGCTGGGTACTACCCGCCTATTTGGTCAAGGAAGGGCTGCTATCTTCACCTAAGTCCACACAATTCCTGGGCCTGGGCTGGACCAAGGCCTGGGGGTAGCTGGGTGAAAGGGGCTAGGACTGGGGTCTGTGCCGATGGAGCCCACCGCCCACCCCAGAAGGAGAGGAAATGTGATGGGCAGAGCTGATCCGCATGGAGTGGGGGGATGAGGGAGACATGGTCCTTCCCTGGAGGGGTGACGCCAGCCCAGCAGTGAGGAGACAAACTGCCCTGGGGCAGGAAGCCCTTGGGGTGCAGATGTCAGAGGCTGGTAGGGGGTCCACCTGCTCACGTTCCTTTTTTGCAGGTGGAGGTTGTGTCCTGCAGAAAAGTGAAAGTGTTCGTTGCTCAGTCGTGTCCGACTCTTTGCAACCCCACAGACGGTAGACCACCAGGCTCCTGTGTCCATGGGATTCTCCAGGCAAGAATATTGGAGTGGGCTGCCATTTCCTTCTCCAGGGGATCTTCTCAACCCCGGGATCGAACCTGGGTCTCCCACATTCTTTACCGTGTGAGCCACCAGGGCAAGTCTGGGTCCCGCAGAGGGGCAGGCGTGTCCGCCACGTTTTCCGTTTTCTGTATTTCATGATGCTTTGTCATCTCAGGCGTCTTGCTGGCCAGGAGGAAACTGCCCCAGGGTTAGCTGGTCCTAGAGGCGGAATCTACTCCCGTGGACGTGCTTGTTGTGGGGAACCGATCCGCGCAGGGCCCACCCCCTCGCCCAGGCTCTCAGGCCCCCAGGCCAGTACTCCCCTGCCCCTGGTCACCCCGGGCAGGAGCCAGACAACTGGAGACCGCAACCTGCCCTAGCCCCAGCCTGGCCTTGGTCTCCAACCCACCCAGCCCTAAGCCCTCTGCACTGCGGGCCGCTCAGCCAGGCCTCTCCGTGAGAACTGCACTAGAGGTTCCGGGCCTGCCCCACTCGGGTTCCTCCTGCCTCCTGGCCACCAGTGCGGCCCCTGTGGCCCTGCGTGGCCTCCCTCTCCCCTGGGAAACATGAGTGATAAATTCTTTTTTCATGGGAGAGGTCTCCACGTCTTGCCACTGTACATATCTAATTAAAACACATCCTGGGTGCAAAGGCCAAGATGGCAGGGGTAGCCTTGGGCAATCTTGCAGGAGGACTGGGGTGCAATCACAGCTGCCTGGCCCATCACGGGGGGCTGCGGTGGGGTGAGCAGAGGTGAGCAGGCGTCCAGAGGGGCCACTGTGGTGCTGTGGGGCGTGTGGACCACGGGGCAGGGGGGAGAGCCGCCTTCTGAATTCTCTGCTCTCCTGCTGCTGGGTGACGGGGTGGGTCTCTGCCTGTCTCTGGGCCTTCTCTGTAGACTGGATACCTGGGCCTAGGAGCTGCCGCTGCCCAGAAGGTGCTGTCGGAGCCAGGCCGGAGGGGGCCGGGGGCCTAGGAGCGCTGCCGCCCTGCCCAGGACCCTGGGGGCAGCAGAGGGTGGGCGGGGCCAGATGCCAGGCTGAGGAGAGGGGGCTGGGCGATGGCCAGGGGGTGCCCCGGCCGCCTCAGCCCGTGCCTGCTGGTCGGCGTCTGGCCGCGGCCCAGCTCCCCTTCCTCCGTCCACCGGGCCGCCTCCCCGTGCAGGGCCACGGCCAGCCCCGCTGGCCCGACATTGAAGCCTCCCTCCCGTAATTGGCAATTTTGTCATATTTATTCACAACAGATCGGATTGTCGGGAGCTCGCAGGGCTCTCCGGAGGCCTGCCGTGAAATCGGTTTGAAATGGCGTGTCGGGTTCTTCTCTCCCTGCAGCAGCGACCATCTGGCTACCGGGCTGGGGCTGGGCTGACACTGACCCGGGGAACCGCGGCTAAGCCGCTCCCGGGGGCCATGTCCGCGGCCTCCCTGTGGGCTGGGCTCCGGGGTGGGGGAGCCTAGACGGGGTGGGGGGCGGGCATGAGGCTGAGAGCTCCTGGGCACTCCGGGCCCTGCCAGGGTGGGTGCCTCCCCAAGAGGCCTGCAGCGGGCTGCCCGAGAGGAGCTGCCCCCCGGCCCCTGGCCCCTGGCCTGGGAAGTGGGCTCCTGCGTGTGTGGACCCATGTAGCCCCGAGCAGGCGTGCACAGGCATGCGTGTGCCCGGGCCACGGGACCCCGGCAGCACAAGACAGGTGGATGTGACACGCACCCCGGCTGAGCCGAATCGAGAGGCGAGGTCTTGATTGCGCCCACGTCCGTCTGGGTCGACTGGGGATCCGGTCCTGGCCGCCCTCGGGGGCCTGCCCTCCAGCGGCCTGGCACCGCAGCCCATGTAGTGGGGTTGTGTGAATGCCCCGTGTCCCTCAGCTTGGGGCCGAGAGGCAGAGCCCAGGAAGGTGCAAGCTGGACACGATCAGGTGGTCCCACTGGGACCATGAGGGCTGGGAAATGTCCTTTCTCTGGAGCCAGGGGAGGAATGGGCTGGGAGCCCGTGAAGCCGACCCTCAGTAAAGCAGGGGCACCGAAACATTTTTCTAAGACATCCCTGGCCCAGTGGTAAAGACTGCACTCCCACTGCAGGGAGCTAGGGTTTGATCTTTGGTCAGGGAACCAGAGCCGCATGCTGCAATAGGGATCCCTCGTGCTGCCGCTGAGCCCTGGTGCAGAGAAATAAAAAAATATTAAAAAAAATAAATGGGGCCGCTCCACACCTATTGTGTGCGTGACATTGCTTCAGGTGTGTCTGACTCTTTGTGATCCCGTGCACCGCACCCTGCCAGGCTCCTCTGTCCGTGGGATTCTCCCGCCAAGAAGACTGGAGTGGGTTGCCATTTCCTCCTCCAGGGGATCTTCCTGACCCAGGGATTGAATGCCCGTTTCTTACATCTCCTGCATTGGCGTTGGCAGGCAGGTTCTTTATCACTAGCGCCACCTGGGGAGCCCTGACGTCCATTAGGATGACATATACGTACATGTCAGAGGGGGCCCAGGCTGGACGGCTGCCTGGGTGGGCTGCCTGAGGCCTCTCTGCCCACCCCCATTCCATGTTGTCAGCCACACCTGGGTTTCAGGCTCAGCACCTCTGCTTGCTGGCCAGGTGGCAGTGGGCAGCTGAGGGCCCCTGTCTGGCCCCCGTCTCTTCCTTCTGTAAAGGGGGTGGAGGGCGCTGCCTTCCCTCCCAGCCCTGCTGGGACAAACCAGACGTCTGCTCTGAAGCCTGCAGGAGAGACGGGGGCCTGGGCGCTGCCTGGGTGGGGTCATCAGGAGAGGGCCTCCCAGCCCCTGCCCACAGCCTGGCCCTTGTGTCTGTGTGTCTGTGACGTGGGGGAGCCTGGCGAGAGCCCAGGGACTCGGCAGAAGCCCCCCCCCCCAACCGGAGGTGGGGAGTTGAGGTGGGGGCTCCTGGTCGTCCTGCTGAGTGGGTGTTTGCATGTCTGACTCAGGAGCTGGGTTTGCTATTTTCCTAAGGATTAGGGGCGGCCCGGCTCTTTACACAGCACAGCCCGGGCTGAGCCTCGCTCTGCACTCACCACATAGGGCCCCGGGGTAGGCAAGACGGGCATCCAGGGCCGACTGCCCTCTGGGCACCCTCAGGCCTACGCTGCCCAAAGTGAGGGCCACTGGCCGCTGATCATGTCTGAACCGGGAGGCACTGTGCATGCAGGGCTGGGAGACTCCAAAGACGTGCGAGGAAAAGAGCGCAGAGCCTCTCCACAGCGAGTCTGCTTTTGTCACCGCGTTTGAGACAATGATATTTGGGATCTGTCGGGCTAATGAAAATATATCAAGGTTATTTCACCGGCTTCTAGAAAACTCTGAATCACATACCTGTGTGGTTCTGTTCCATTTCTCGGGATGGTGCTGCTACGAATAATGTTACCACATGTGCTTTCAACAATGTAAACCAGGGTGGGGCTGCAGGCGGGATGGGGGAGGCTGGCACGGCTGTGAGCACCAGGCTGGAGTCTGGTCCTGTGAGAGGCGGGTTGGACCTGGTGACTCACCTGACCAGTAGGTCGTGGTGGGAGTGACGTCTGGACCCCGAGACCAGGTCACGGGAAGGCATACGGCGTCTTCCTCTTGTGACCCTGAGCTGCCAAGGAAGAAGTCTGTTTACTGGAGAGGCCGCCTGTGGCACTCAGCTGCCTGAGTTCTGTCTGCTGCCCTGTCTGAGCCCAGGCTTCCAGCTGTCCCCACGAGGGCTCCCCAGACCAGCCCCAGGGCAGCTGAGACCTGCCGAGTGACTTCAGATGATGACACGTGGAACAGGAGAGCCGCCCGGCTGAGCCCTGCCGACTTCCTGACCAAACGCCAGGGAGAGACAGTGAAATGGGTGTTGTCAAAGCTGCTGGTGGGTTGGGCTAGTTTGTTACGCAGCAGAAGACCAGATGCGCGGATACATGATTGCCCCCTACCCCTCAGACCTGTTCCACGTCCAAGGTGTCCCACTGACACCTTCACAGCACAGGATCCAGTTCAGACTCCCGCAGTGCCCTTGGTCATCATGGCCATTTGATGTCCTTCCATCTGGAGTGGCCGTTCCTGGACTCCCAGGAACTGATAGACTGCGGGATAACAGGCCCTTTTACGGAGTCACGACAGTGGGGCTGGCCTGCTGCTTCTTCGGGACTGGTTTCCAGTTTGACAGGAGTCACTGCCGGGACGGCGACCCTGGGGCCTCCAGGCGTGTGTTGGGGAGCCTGGGGGCCACCACCCAGAGCCTGCGCCCACAGTGGGCCTGAGCCACGCCCTCCCGCCCACACCTGCAGCTCCTGCGTCACAGGCCATGGCCACGGGAGGCCCAGTCAGTGCCCCAGAGAAGGGCCCAAGTGCCCGCTGAGTGGGCAGCCAGCAGCACACGCCCCAGAGTGAAGGAGCCAGAGCGTGCACACGTGTGCGCTTGGCGTGTGCTCATGCACACCTGGATGTGGCCGTGCACGGTGAGCCATCCCCAGGGCACGTGTGTGTATCTGACATGCGTGTCTCTGTGTCCGCGTCCTCACGTGCGGGGAGCTGAGGGTCTGGAGGTGTGTGCGGATGCCTTAGAGAGGGTGAATGCGATTGCACATGTGTGTGTGCATGGATCCACAAGCGTTCACTTGTGTGTTCACATGTCTGAGGTTTCATGTTCACGTGAAGTCACATGGAGCGCACGCCACGTGCACACCTCTGTGTGTGTGTGCACATGTGTGGCCCCAGGTAATTCTCTGGACGGGAGGAGTTCAGTTTGTGTCTGAGCACACCTGTGTCTATACACTTGGACATGAGTGCACACAGGAGGTGGTGCTGAGAAGAGGGGAGTGGGCAGGAGAGACCCTATGGAGTCACGCCATCCCAGCCCCTGAACATGCTGACCCCACACCCCCGCCATCCTGGGGGACAGTCAGGCCTGCCCACCCCAGCAGCCCGCCCTGGAGATGAGCCCCCGCTCTCCCCTCGGGTCCGAGGGCTCCTCGGGGCTCAGAACCTGGTCCCAGAGCACCCTACCCCATCCCACCCCCTGAGCGCACCCCCCACCTGCCGTTACCGCCGGTCAGTGAGGAGCAGAGGGCTTCTTCCTCCAGTGTGGCTGCTGGGACGAGGGCCAGGGCCACAGGACCGTGGTCCCTGTGGGGCGGGGGCAGAGGTGCTGGGGGTGCCGGCCAGAGCTGCCTGAGGCCCTGCTGTTGGGCTCAGCCTCATGGGATCCAAGCCAAGAACAGCAGGAGGTGCCCGACAGGCCCAGAGAGGTCTCAGACTCATCCCAGGATGCCCAGTGGGCTGGGGTCCTGCCTTCTGGGGTTCTGGGCACTCCGGCCCTGCCTGCCCACTCCCGCCAGCAGGGTCCCTGCGTCATCACTGCAGGGAGAGCTCTCACACCGGCTGAGCCCAGGAGAGCGCGCCGAGGAGCTGGGCAGCTGCGGAGCGCCTCCGAGCCTTGGTCTCTGCTTCTATAAACGGGGGACGTGGCCCAGTCTTGCCCGCCACAGCCGGCGGGGGGTGGGTAGGCCGCCTCTCGCTGGGCCCGAGCCTCGGGGAGCCTCCGCTGTGCCCGCAGCCCCACAGTGGGGGGACCATTGATCCTCAAGATGGGGGACCGTCCATGCAGGCGGGCGGCGCGTCCCCCATCGACCAGAAGCACCATCAGCTGGCTCCCTCCGCTCTGTGCTAACGAGCCGATCTCTCGGTGCTGTGGGGCCTAATTGGCGGGACAGGCAGGTGTGTGTCTGTCTGGGAGCCTGGCTGCTGCCTGCCTCCGGCCCCCGCAAATTGAGGCGGGCAGTGGTGCGGGGCCCCAGCGGGGTCCAGCCCCATGGGCTGCCAGCCCAGGCCACCTGGTCTCTAGGGGAAACACCCGAGGCAGGTTGTCACCAGGGATGAGGGGCCAGTTAGCGGCCCCCCGAGAGTTCCTGGGCCCCCCAAGCCCAGAGGCAGCCTAGAGCTGTCCCCAGTAGGGGAGCCGGGAGGGGAGGGGAGGAGGGGAGGCAGGCATGCAGTGTGGGAACCCAGGCCCCTGGCACTTGGAGCAAAGGAGGCCAGGGGTACTCACACAGGGAAGGAGAGTGGGGCAGCCCCAGAGGGGGCAGGATGGGGTGGAGGCTGCAAGTGCAGGAAGGCAGCCGCTCACCTCCTCAGCTGTTCTGTCCCGCCCTTGGGGAGCCCTCGTGGACCTGGGCAAGTGAGGGCTGGTGAGCTGAAGCCGCCCAGAAGGTAGTGAGCTGCCTGTCCGTGGGGGTGTGTAAGCTAGAGGTCTGAAGGAGAACTCCAGCTCTGCATGAGACAGGAGGACTCTCAGTGTGGACGTGCTAAACCTCAGAAATGCCCCCTGGGGGTCTGCTCAGCTGAGCATGGTGCTAAGGTGGCTGCAGGGAGCCAGGTCCTGTCCCCAGAGACCCTCTCCCAAGGGATGACCTGAAGCGGGAGGCCCCAGCTGGGCTCCTAACTCTGCATCAGGCCCACCGCTGGCTTGGCCAGGGGCTCCCCTCACCCCAATCTCCCCAGCCGCTCCGATGCCCGGAGGGTGGCAGACCGCCCGCTCCCTCCAAGGCCTGCAGCCCAGCTGTGGCTGCCCAGTGCTCACTGCTCCTGCCCCAGCGGCCCCAGCTGTGTGCCCCCCACCCCACAGCCCCCGGGCCGGGGTCCTCTGCGCTCCTCACGCGGGGTGATCCGGGGCCTCTGCACTTGCTGAGGCCTGACTGTGCACCAGGGAGACTCCGCCCTGGACGTTCGGCTGCGCCATCAAAGGACCCCTTGTTCGCGGCTCTGCCTCCAGAGGACCATATTGGCAGCTTCAGGCAGGCCGTGTGGGGAACGTGTTCCCACCACGGAAACCCTCAAATACCACCGTCTTATTTCACTTCCAGGACGCGTCCGGCGGCTCCTCTGCTCCCAAGTTCCGGACGAGGACGCTGAGCCGGGAGGAGCAGGGCGCCTGGCCCCCTGCCTGGCTGCAGGGAGACCCAGGAGGGCGGCTGTGGAGGCTCGCCTCTGTCGCCAGGGCACCGGGCGGCCACCAGCCCAGACAGGTGTGCGGCCGCCGCGGCCCCGCACCCGGCCCATCCATCAGGCCGCTAATCTTTCAGCATCCGCTGGCCTCTCGCGGGCGTGATGGATGGGCTCCCGGCCCCGCCGACCGCTGCGAAATCACTCAGTGGCCAGACAAGCCCTGAATCTGACGCACGGGGTGTTGAAAGGAGGGATGTCTGTTTTCATAACCTACCTCAGTTACAATAAATATTTAAAATGCACATTAACATCCTCTCGCTGCACAATCGGCCTCTGTGGCCCCGGCCGCGCAGATTTAATTAGCTCCGGGCTTCCCCTGCCAGCCGCGCTCGCCCGTGGACGCAAGGCCCCTGTTTTCTTAAACTCTGGGCGCCGCTGGGCCAACACAGAGCCTTTGTCTGGCTTGGCGAGCCCTCTCGGCCCCTGGCGCTGGGCAGGGCGGGTCCCCGGGCTGTGGGTGCCCGTGGATGGGTCCCAGGGCGTCCTGCCTGCTGGCCTGTGGGCTGGTGCCCACTGGAGCCCCCCGACACTCCCCTGTCCCGGGGGTGCAGGAAGATTACAACCCAGAAATGAGGGCAGAGCCGAAGCCCTGGTCCGGGGAAGCTGTCCCAGGAGTCGTGCCCACCCCAGCGGATGGCCCAGAGCCAAGCCCACTCGCCTCCCTTCCGCCCTGAGCCTTGGTTCCTTGGATGGCGGGACCCCGCCCTTCCCAGGGGCCACATGGGCACCAAGCCCTGGTAAGCCCCTTTGGGACCTTCTCACCAAGTTGCACAGACCCCTTGAGGTGGGGATGATGTCGCCCATTGGAGAGTTGAGAAAACTGAGGCTCAACATGGAGAAGCGACTCCTGGGTCACCTGGATTTCTTGGGAGCCCCAGGCCTCAGAGCAGCCCCACGCAGCCGGCCAGCCTGCCATCTCAGCTGCTCCTTCACTCATGTCTGTTCACTGATCCAGGAGCTCCTTGCACCCAGCACCGTGCTCCTCCCTCCCTCCCTCTCCTCCTTATTTATGTACCCACAGGTCTGGGCTGCCCCCCACCCGGGAGCTCCTTCCTGGGGCTCAGCACCCTCTGCGGCAGCTCACACAGGCATCCAGGGGCCACTGAGAGCTCACAACCCCTGCACCCGGAACACTCTGCAAACCCCACAAACCACATCTCAAAACCACATCTGTTTTGCTCACAAACATGCACCTTGGTCAGAGGGGCTGGTCTCTGCTCTACCTGGGATCCCATCAGCTGGAATCACCTGCCAGCCCCCACGTCATGGTCAGGCACCAAGGCTCCAGCTTCCCCTGGGGCCTGGGCCTCCTCACAGCCTGCAGGAGGGAGCCAGGGCCGGGGCTGGAGCGCGGGCGACAGAGGCTGCAGCCCTTGTTCCCCTTGAGCTGGACACCATGCGCTGCCCTCCTGCCTGGCAATGTTCCGCGGGAGCGGGGCGCTAAGCTGGGCCCACCTTCCAGGGCAGGGTAAATAGACCCTTCTCTTGCTGGAGGAGAGGAAGGTTCTAGAAGAGTGTGTAGGGTGGGAGACGCTGTTGCAGCCATCCTTGGAAAGCGCACCCAGTCACACGAGGCATTGGCGGCCACATAAGGCCCAGAGGGTAAGGCCTGACCCTTCCCGTAGTTCACACCCGGTCTACTCTGGGGCTCAGCCTGGGGTCACCACCTCAGGGAAGCCTTCCTTGATCTCTCCCCAGACCTATTCCTTTCATCCTCCTTCAGAGCACAGGCCCTGTCTGCAGCTCTGTACGATGTTCAAGTGTTAGTTAGCAAATGTCAGTCTCTATGCCTTAACTCTTCCCCCAGACCATAGATCCTAGGCCTTAGTGTGGATCCGGGCATTCAGTAGCTGCTCAATATGCACCTGCTAAATGAAGAGCGAGCAGAAGCACTTTTATCAGTCAGAGTCCACCAGAGAAAGTGTAGGTTAATCTGTGTATAAAATAGGTAGGTAGGTAGACAGATAGACAGACACATGGATATCGCCAGCAATCGGCGGCTGAGGTGGGAGCTGGCAGGCAAGGCCACAGTTCGCAGGCAGGCCTCCAGGAGGGCAGCTGGAACTCCCGGTACAGGCTGGAGCTGCCGGCCACCGTGAAACTCCTTCTTGCTCAGGAAAGCTTGGTTCTGGAAAGCCTGTAGCTGATGAAATCCGGCCACCAGGTAATCTAGGATCATCTCCTGGACTTAAAGGCAGCTGACTGTCCACACCAGCCTCACCTGTACATGCCAGCCACATCTGTCCACACCGGCCGCATCTGTCCACACTGGCCACATCTGTCCACACTGGCCGCATCTGTCCACGCCGGCCACACTCATATGTGCCAGCCACATCTACCAAGTGCCCCCAGCAGCAACTCGGGAGCACAGAGCCCGGCCACCAGGGTGCGTGGCAGGGCCTCCCCCTTCTTCTCTGACGTCTCCCCCGGGATGGATGCTGAGATGAGGCCCCGGAGAGCACCGCAGGCCTGGGGCTTCCTGAGGCAGCTTCTCCCCAGAGTGGGTGAGGAGCACTGAGCCTCAGAGAGTCTGGGGTCCAGCTAAGATGCTCCAGTTGGCAGCAGAGGTGGGCCTGTGAGCAGATGAGCGAGATGCTCCCTGAAGAGTGCTGCATGGAAGCTGGACCACGTGGCCCACGGATCACGGGACACGCTTGTCCACAGGGCCCATGGAGCATGGACAGGCCTGTCCAGAGCTGGATTTGAGGTGTGTGTGGGTGTTTGAGTGCACGAGCATGCGTGCGTGCACATGTCTGACACGTGTGTATGTGCAGACCTGAGCAGAGCATTCTAGAAGCGCAGTGGAGGCTGCCTGCCTCACCCAACCTGGCCTTTGGGGTACGGGTATCCTTCTAGTCCCACCCCATGCCTCCAAACTTCCACAAGCCCACCCAGAGTCCAGGGCTAGGTACAGACCCCCTCCACAAGGAACAGCAGAACAACGGGGCCATGCTTTACTTCGATGCCATGTTTTAAAACCACCCTAACTGGCACGGTTGGATAGATTTTCCAGAAGAACCCCTCTGGCTGGAAGCCAGGAGTGGAGACCAGAGGCTGGAGGCCTGTGAGCTTTGCTCCTCCGAGCAGATCACAACCGCCTCTGCAGAGGAGTGGAGGGCGGGCTGGGGGGAGAGGAGAGGTGCCCCAGGCGCGGGCCGGGTGGGGGCTGAGCAAGGACACGTGGTCAGCACAGAGGCCCTGGGGCCAGGGCCGGCCAGAGGGCTTGGGTAGGTTTTCAAGGTCTTCCTGGAGCAGGAAGGACTGACAGAGTTCTGCCCCGTGGAGATCTGTGGGACAGACCCTCCGGCGCGTCTGGACCAGTCCCCTACAGGTCTGATCCCTGGCTGGCCTGCCCACAGGTGGCCGAGGCCCTGGATTGGGTGCGTGGCGCGGGGGCCCACCAGCCAGCATTCTGCACGCGCTGGAGCCGCTGTAGCTCCCACCCGCCCGCGCCTGTTTATGGAGCGGAGGGTAAGTGTTTAATTAGTCGCCTAATTGCCTGGGTAATTGGGAGACGTACTCAGCTCTCCAAGTAATCAGTCGGAACAGGCCTCGAAAATATCTGGCCCAATATTCATTAGTGCGGTTCAATCGTTACACAGTTACCGTGTTTGGTTCATGACAAGGCCCAGCAAACAGCTGTGCACCCTGCAGCCACCCACGAGCCCCGCCAGGCAGGCCGCCCCCACACACTGACCGTGGGCAGCCCCGCCGGGCCCCGCCCTGGGCCTCCTGCACCCCCAGGGAGGGCTCAGTGAGGGCGGGTTCCTGGGGGCGGTGGGGCTGGGGCGAGGGGCTCTGACCCATCTGCGGTACCTCCGCATGCACGGCCCTTTGTGGTTCAGGCAGCAGGAGCCCATCCACAGGACTCTGACTCTGCGCAGCCCTGCAGGGTGAAAACCATCAACGTGCCCATTGTACAGATAGGGAAGCTGAGGCCAGAGGGACCAGCAGCCCCTGGAGGTGGGCACAGCCCGCCTGCTCCCTGTGCCCAGAACCCTGTCCCCGCAGGAGGGGTGCTCATCAGCGGAGGAAGCGCCTGGCGGCCAAGGAGTGCCAGTGGGAGCGGGGGGTTGGGCCTGTGGAGGGAGGCCGAGTCCTCGCCCGATGCCTGCCGCTGTGAGTGGGCGACTGCCTGCCGCCCCGTGCTGCTCACCCGCATCCTCTGTGACCCCCGCCCTTGGGTCCTCCCCGGCACCGGGCGGGGGGACATGGCAGTGAGCAGGCGGACCTGGCGTCCGACCCTGCCGATTTCCTCGGGGCACCTGGAGTTGGGGGAGACGTGCTGTGAGAGTCTTTATGGGGGAAGTAGAATCGGGGCGCTCCCCCAAGCTTGAGCTCAGGGCCTGAAGGAGGGGGCAGCGGCAAGTGGGTAGAGTGGAGGGAAAAGCATTCCCTGTTGATGGAACAGCAGACGCAAGGTCCCTGAGGCAGGGGGAAGGTAGGAGGCCCTGGAGCGGCAGGTAGAATGTGTGAGACGTCGGGAGGGGGCCAGGGATAGGGTCTTGTTCTGGGAGTCACGGGGGCCTTTGAGGATGATTAAGGGGACAGTGTGCAATCCCTGGGTCGGGAAGACCCCCTGGGGGAGGGCGTGGCATCCCACTGCAGTGTCCTTGCCTGGAGAATCCCACGGACAGAGGGGCCTGGCGGGCTACAGCCCACGGGGTCGCAGAGTCGGACGCGACTGGAGTGACTGAGCCCGAGCAGGAGCAAGCGGGCACTGAGTGGGACTGTTCACCCTGCATTTTTAAAAGCCCGGCTCTGAGGCGGGTGGACGGGGCCCGAGGAGAGGCTGAGGGGCCGGGGCCCGGGGAGCAGGGGGCGCTGTGGATTCGGCCTCCGGGCTCCAGGCGGCCCGCGTGGGCCCAGGAGGGGCTCGGCCTCTGAAGCCCACGGCCCTGCCTCCAGCCCCCCCACCCCCCGCTGCCCCAGGCCGGCCCAGCAGGGCTCCCGCCCGCCTCCTCCCTCAGGCTGGCCCACAGCTTCTGGAAGGGCCTCCCTGTTAAATCTCCTGCCCCAGGGCCACGTTCACCAGCCTTGCCTGAACCCTGTCGAGGTCGTGGTTGTGGGGACGTGCCTTCAAACGCCGCAGCCCCCCGCCCTTCAGGTGCAGATGCGTTACCTTGTGGACAGCACACACACAGAGCTGGGCCAGAGCCAGGAACCAGGCTCGGGTCTGTGTGACCCTGGGCAAGCGCCGTCCCGCTTGGAGCCTCGTCTGTGTGACCCTGGGCAAGCCGCCGTCCCTCTTGGAGCCTCGTCTGTGTGACCCTGGGCAAGCGCCGTCCGCTTGGAGCCTCGTCTGTGTGACCCTGGGCAAGCCGCCGTCCCGCTTGGAGCCTCGTCTGTGTGACCCTGGGCAAGCCGCCGTCCCTCTTGGAGCCTCGTTTCCTCATCTTGGAAACGAGGGAGCAAATACCACCACCCACGGATGGCACAGCTGTGGGGACAGAAGCTGGGTAACTGGAAGGACTCGACGGGGAGGGCAGTGTGACCAGCTGCTGTAGGTGCACCCCTGGCCACTGCTGGGCTGGCGCAGGTCTTCACGGAGGTCATCTCATTTGATTGAATCCTCCCAACCACTTTTTTGATGGAGGTAAAATTCATACAACATAATATTAACCACCGACCACTTTAAGGTGAGTACTCCAGTGGCATTTAGCAGGCTCACAGCATTGTGCAGCCGCCACCTGCATCTGGTTCCCAAACCCTGCATTCCAGACGCATCACTAAATGGAATCGTGCGCCATGTGGCCTTTAGTGTTGGGCTTGCTTTTTTCAGCATCGTGCCCACGAGGTTTATCCACACTGCAGCAGGTGTCAGAGCCTCATTCCTTTGGGGCCAAATCACATTCTGTCGTGTGGGTATCAGCCAGCTTTGGAAGTAGGTATAATCATGCTCATTTTACAGACATAGAAATGAAGCATCACAAAGGCTTCTCTTGTCTTCTGAGCTCGCGGTGTCAGGACGTGAGGTGCTGGAAGGAGTGTCGTTACTATTTCCAGTTCTTTTCATCCCCTGGGTGGATTCACGCTGGTCTTCTGCTGGAAGGACTTGCTTTAACATTTCTAGCGATGCAAGTCCTTTCAGTTTTTGTCTGAGGACATCTTTATCTCCAGTTTTGAAAGAATTTTTGCTGGGTACAGAATTCTAGATTGATGGGGTCTTAGGCACTTTAAGATACTGCACTACTGTCTTCTTGCTTCAATATTTTCATGATAATCTGTTGACACGCTTGTCTTTATTCCTTTGCAGTGGTTTAGGTGCTAATTTGTGTCTGAATCATTGTGACCCCACAGACTGTAGCCTGCCAGGCTCCAATGTCCATGGGATTTTCCAGACAAGCATACTGGAGTGGGCTGCCATTTCCTTTTCCGATTCCTCTGTATATGGCTTTTTCCTCTGACTGATTTTAAGGTTTTCTTATCTTACACCAGCTTTTGAGCAATTTGATTGATGTGCCTTGTAGTTTTCTTTTTGTTTCTTAGAGTATTTTGAGCTTTTATCTATGAGTTTATAGTTTTCATCAAATTTTGTAAACTTTCAGCCAAAGTTCTTCAAATATACTTGCCTATGCATTTTCCTTCAGAAACTCCAGTTACACATGTGTTAGGCCACTGGATGCTGTCTTTCAGAAAACTGATGATCTTTTTCATTAAAAAAAATTATTTGTTCCATTTTCATTCTGGATGAATTCTCTTAGTGTGCCTTCAAGTTCACCTGTCTTTTCTTCTCCTATGTCTAATCTACTATTAATATCAACTAGCATATTTTTTTTGTCTGAGTCATTGTTGTTTTCAACTCGAAAAGTTTGATTTGGGTCTTTTTTTAATATCTTCGATGTCTCTATTTAGCTTTACAAACGTATAGAGTGGCTGTAATAACTTATTTAACATCCTTTGTTCATTCTAACATCTGTGTCAGTGCTGGGTCAGTTTTAACTAACTGAGTATTTTCATTGTGGGTCAAGTTTTTCTGCTTCTGTTAATGCTGATGATCTTTGCTTAGATGCCAGACGTTGTGGATCTTGCCTTGTTGTTTGCCGGGTGTTTTGTAAGCCAGCAGACACGCACGGGCTGTGCTTTGGGTGCAGTTAAGCTCCTGGGAAACGGATCCTTCCAGTCTTGCTGCTCTTGGTTCTCTGCAGCTCTCAGCTTAGAGCTAAGGACTCCCCAGTACCAGGCAAGGCCTCCCCAAGGCCCTGTGAACGATGGCTCCTCCCACGTGAGTCTGCTGGTAGAAGAAGATTTTTCCCAGGCTCAAATGAGGGCAGGACATTGTCCTCCTGTCCTGGGACGGCTCTTTCCCAGGACATAGATGATTCCCTACCTTCATGCAGTAATCAGTACAGAGCTCTTTCTCTCCTTTTGGGTGCCTGACCTACAAATTCCAGCTTGATATCCCCAGATTTTTAGCTCTTTCTCGGGGAGTTTGCCAGACCACGTCTGGGTTCTTCCTTTCTGCCTCACAGTATGAGGATTCTCCCCATGTCAGGACCCACCTCATTTCTCCTCCATCTTTCAGGAACCTCTGTCCTTCACTGCCTGATATCCAGTATCTTAAAAATCATTCTTTTTAATATTATGTCTGTTTTTTTAAAAAATAGTTGTTTCAGATGGGAAGATAAATCTAGTCCCCTGACTTTATCTTGGGTGGAAGTAGAAATCCTGAGTTCCCATTGCAGGATAATCGGAGCCCAGACATGAATCCTGAGGGAGACATTTGAAACCTGGATCAAGCCAGGCCTGAAGCCAGAGATCTATCCCAGACAGTTCAGCTCTAGGAGGCAGCAGATTCCGTCTTCTGTTTAAGTTGCCCCTTGCTACTGCCAGCTTCCTGTCCAAGCCTGGCTGCACAAGGCAGCTCCCTGGAGGTGCGAGATAACGGCTGCAGGAGAGACGGGGCGTGAGGGCAAGCTGGGCCGGGCTGGGACAGGTGCAGGGCTGTGCTCGCCTGGCCAGGAGAGGAGAGCGTACGGGTCCCATGTTTCCCACTCCCAACCCTCCAGGGAGCTCTCCAAACACTTGGAACCTAGAGCCCTCAGGGTGAACGGCCACGGCCAGGCCTCTGACGTCCGCTCTCCTGCCCCCGTCACCTGGGCCCCGCCCTGCAGGCTGCCGGCTCGTTCCCAGCTCAGTGCCTCTGTTCCTGCTGGGCCAGTTGCTGGGGCCACGCCCCCGGGGTCTGTGTGGCCCCACAACACACCTCAGGGGCCCGAGATGCCCACACAGGTCTGGGCACACAGCAAGGCCGTGCCCGTCCCGTTCTTGGAACCTTATGCCAGGAAGGGGACTAGAAAGAGAGGGGTGGGTCCCCCAGAGGCTCCAGTGACCCCAGAATTTCCTAGAACAGGCCCTAATGTTGGCCCACCTCCCTGGGGAAGGACCCGGAGAGGCCTGGTCCCAGACCTCCAAGCTGCCCTCCCCGCAAAACATCCCCTTCCACCGGAGAGGATGGGTGGGGGAGTGAGGAGGGAAAAATAATTACTTCTCAGCCTCTAACCTTTCCGGCAAGTGACTTGGTAATAAATAATCCCCACGTCCCTCCAGTGCGGTCCATCAGCAGGCTCTCCTAATTACTTTAGACTCACTTTGAAACTGCTTCCAGTCCCACTTTCAAATAAATAAAAAATTAACATGGGACCGACCAGAGACCCGGTGTGGGGGTCCCAGCCCCCTCCCTGAGGTGTGCCCAGGTCGGGGTGGGCAGTGCCCCTGGGGGGGGGGTCCTGTGTCCCAGCCCCCGACAGGGCTCCAGGCCCGAGGGGAGGAGCTGGCTGCCTGGCACACCCGTGTCCCTGGCCCAGGGTCCACCTGCCACATCTAGGATCCTGGCAGCGGCGGGGGGCGCCAGCCCTGCAGACCACTGCCGGGGAGCCCTGTGAGCTGAGGGTGCTGTGGGCTCCGGCTGGGCCCTGGGCCCCGCACCCGGCCAAGGTGCGGGGCTCAGCCTCCTTCCTTCCAGCCCATCCTCCAGGCTTCAGCTGTGACCTCCATAAATAAGCCCGGGGGTTGACAAGGTGACCCCCAAATGCCCTTGAATCTCTCCCATTGAATCCCACCCATGGGGGCCCTGCCTTTCTCTCTGAGGGCCTGGGGGTGGGACCACGGCCAGGCCTTGGCTGCACCTCTGGCCCACCCGTGCCAGGGGGGCCTCTCTGGGGGAGGTTTGGGGGCAGCCCAGCCCTTCCCAGCCCCAGATGGCCCAGGCTGCGAGGGTGGGCAGGCAGGGCCTCCCTGATGGGGACCAGGTGGTGGACGGAGGGGCCAAGGCAGGCCCACCCCGCCCGCCCCAGAGGCTCTGCCCCAGGCCCACCCGGCCCCCCAGCCCCGCACTGTCTCACCCCAACCACAGACCAGAGGAGGAAGCCCCAGTCCAGCAGGCCTCGGGCTCGTGCAGCTGCGGGCCAACCGCAGGGTGTGGACAGTGAGCGTTCGGGGGGCCGGGCCGGCGAGCAGAGGCCAGGCTGCTGTGGAGGCAGCTGGGGGCGCATGGGGCCCCTTGGCCAGCCCCCCCGTGGGAGAATTAATTAAACACATCTCAGTCTTGGCCACCGAATGGCTTCTGCTGACCTCATCAGGCCAATTAATATTTAATTAGCCTTGAGAAAGAAGGGAAGGGCCTTGTCAACCTGCTGCATCAACCTGTCAGCTCTGGGCTGGGCCCCGGGCCGACAGCGCTCCAGGGCAGGAGGACGGTGGCCAGGCGTCCGGCTCCGGGGCCTCCCGGAGCCCCACTCCATCTCCTCTCCTCCGCCAAGCCTGGCCTGCCAGCCCTTGGCCCTGGGGTCCCCCCGCTGGGCTGCACTGAGTTCCGAGAGCTGAGCTTAGGTGCCCTGGCCCTGGCCTCTGGGCCTGAGTTGGGGGGCAGGGGGAGGGCAGGGTGCCCCTCGTCAGGCTGGGGGCCTCTGAGCAGCGCTTGCGGCCAGCTTCCAGCTCAGGGTCCCAGCCGCTCTGGGCCCAGTGCCTGGGGCTGACTTATGGGGGAAGGAGGGCCCAGGATTTGGGGGGCGGCCCCATGCTGAGGCCCCGGAGTGGTGAGGACTGGGCCAGACAGGGCCCTGCTGCCATGGGCGGTGCTGCCAGGCCGGGGCAGGGGCTCAAGGCTACCCTCGGGCGGGAGGCGGGGGCGGGGGAGTTACAAGAAGCCAGAGAAGTGAGCTTTGTGCGACTTTTCCTGCTCTTTCAGGTCCAGAATAACAGACTCCGCATTGCAAAAGCTAGATGAGCCCGACGGCCCTTGTGTGGAGAGACCCACGCCGGCACCTGCGTGCCGGCACCTGCGTCCCGGCACACAGTAGGTCCTCAGCAGACCACACGAGAAGGGCGGGGGTGGGCGTGGATGGAGCTGGAGCTGGCGGCTGGGGAGACAGCCCTCTGCGTCTGGCCCCGCCCCCCAGGCCGCCAATCCCTGGCCACGCCCCCACCACGGCCCCGCCCACAAAGCCCCAGGATATTGGCACGTGCTGCGACTGCCCTGAAAAGGGGCTTTTTGAGTCCCAGCACGTGCTGGGGAGGCTGCAGGGCCTGTGGGGCTGGGGGAGGAGGGACCCTCAGACCTGGAGGGTGTCCTCGGGCAGACGTTACCCAGATGGGGTACGGCCAGGGCGGGGCGGGGCGGGGACACCAGGATGGGCCAGCCCCCCCGGCTCCCTCTTGGGCCCGGAGCCAGGCACACAGGCAACTCTGCCAGGACCTCTCTCCCCCATGTTGGCAGACAGTGATGAAATTTTTAAATAAGGCCAAAAAAATTAAAACTCCCTCGAGTTTTATTAGCTAACTAGGTAATTACAAACTGGCTTAATTAAAACCTACCCTCAGAAGGAACTGGGGGGCAGCCCGGCAGGGAAGGAAGATGGTGGGGGGCTTTCTTTGGGACAAAACTCGGTTTCCCCAGACATAAAGTAGGGACGATACTAAGCCCTAACCCCGAAAGACTGTCGGGAGCACTGAATGCAGAGCTCACCTGCTCAGAGAGGCCACGGGCCCTGCCCGGGCTGCACAGCAGTGCCTAGCAGGGCTAAACTTGACCCTGGGGAAGGCAGGGGCCTCCCTCCCAGGCCTGACCCTCATAGGGTTGGGTGCGGAGGGTCCCGGAGGGTGCAAGCTCCACAGTGTGGTCAGCACGGGGGTCTGGGGTCTGCAGGACCTTCCAGCCCAGGCACGTCCCCCCCTCTGCAGAAGGAGATGGTGGCGCCGGGCCTTACAGGACGAGCTGGACTTGTTCACTGAAGAAGCGCTGTCCTGGGGAGGGCGTACCTGGCGGACGGCACGGCAGAGACCAGGGCCAGGGCCAGAGACTCAGAGAGGCGGCAGCCTGGCGGGGCCGGACAGGGAGGAGGCGGGAGGCCAGGTGAAGCCGCTGGGAGGCGGGGCTTGGGGCTTGGGGCCTGGGCTCAGCCTGCGGCGGGGAGAAGAGCTGGCCTGTCCTGAACCCTGAGCCGTGAGGGGGTCCTGGTCTGCCTGCCTCTCCCTGAGCGGGGCAGCTCTGAGGGTGGACGGCAGGCCCCGGGGAGGGGGGCACAGCTTACTGGTGATGGGGCAAAGCTTCCGGACCCTTTGCCTTCCCAGGAGAAAGAACTCCCGCCCTCATGGCTGGAGCCCTACTGGGCCTGGAGGGATGGGACCAGGACCCCAGAGGGGCCCGATGCCTGGGGGGACAAACATGGCTGAGGACGTGAGAGGGGCTGTGAGGATGGAGGTGTTTGGGGAGGGGCTGAAGGGCTGGGACAGAGAGATGGGGGGAGACCCCCGGCGTGGGAGCAGGAAGGTGTCCGCTGCAGAGACATAACCAGTGGCCTCGGCTTGTGACCCGGAGAATCCAGGGCCTCCCTCTGGCCCCCAGGCTCGCTGTGCCACCCCCACACAGTGGGGGTTCCCCCACCCCCAGCTGCAGCCCCGAAAGCCCAGGGTGTCGCCACCACAGCCCCCAGGCCCGTCTGCCCACCGAAAGGGAGACCTGTCCACGGCAGTCAGGCCCCGGGGAGCCTGTGAGGCCATCCAGGCCTGCGTCCACTCCTGGCTTGGCCACTGGCCGGCTGGGTGGCCGTGGGCGAGTCACCTGGCCGCAGCCTCAGTTTCTCCAGCTGTCAAGGGGGCGAGAACCCCAGCTCCTGGCGGCTGTGAGCATGGTAAACACCCAGCACACAGAATGGACTCTTAGCAGGGACCTGCGGGTCACCCTAGCCCATCCGTCAAGGCTGGGAATCTTAGGATCCCAGCGCCAGCCCCAAACCATGGCCCCACTCGGTTCCGGCGGCCGCCCCCACGGCTCATAAACCCCTGGGCTTTGATCTGTCCTCACTGCCTCCTAACCGGAAAAGACAGGGGTCCTCCCAGCCCGCTCCCTCAACATCAGGCCTTCCCACCCCACTGCCTCCATTAACCTCTGCGTTCCGGCCGGAAGGGGCACCTGCAGCCCTGGCCAGTTCCCACGGCGGGGGCGCCCCGAGGATGGGGCTTCGGGGCGGTCCTGCAGGGGAGAGGACCCCCCAGGCAGCCGTCCCAAAAGCCTGGGCCTTGGGTGACCTGGGCCAGCACTTCTGCCTGAGAGAGTGGACGCCGGTGGGCTCAGCCTGGCCCCGCAGGCCGGAAACCCCCAGCAGGGCAGCTGCTTTGCCCCGAGGGCTTGTCCTGCCCCAGGGGAGCCTTGGGATGCCTTTCGTCCCACCCACTCCCTGTGACCCCCGCTCCCTCCCAGCCCCAGCCACCTCCCTTCAGGGCTCGTTCCGCCCCACGCTGGTGTGGGGAGCGCCCCCCAGCCTGCTGACCCTGGGGAGGGGCCGCCCACCTGGACCCTCTAGGGAGCTCAGGCTGGCGTCCAGCCCCACCCTGGTCTGCCCCCGGGCCCAGGGGACACCCCTGCTCCTCCCAGCGAGTCCTCAGGTTCTGCCCACGACGGGTCCCCCGCTCTGCCCTCCGGCCCGCCACGGCTCTCACACTGTAACGGTGGTGCTTGTCATTTGTCCCCGAGGGCACAGGGCTCCAGCCCTGGGGACAGGGCAGCCGTCACTGCCCTGAGCCCACGCCGCCCACTGAGACCCTAGACCCTCAGCTCAGCCTCACCAGATGCGACGGGCTTTGCTCGCCTGGCCCGCCCTGAGCAGCGGCTTGGCTGGACCAAGGGCAGGAGCTCCCCAAGTCCCCACTCGCCCCATGTGACCCCGGTACAGACTCAGCAGCCGTAGATGGGGAACACCCCCGACAGCGAGCATAGGAACAAGCAGGGCGTGCCGTGAACGCGGTCTCTCCCCCAAGCCCGGGCGCTCAGCGTGTGCTTACAGGGGTTCCCCGATCTACGGGTGCAGCGGTGAACAAACAGCCCCATCCTGCCGCTTGGGGTCTGGAGGCAACAGGCACCGCGGCGGCAGTCTCCAGGGGTGTGCGGAGGGCCAGGGCAGAGGCCTGACGGGTGGGTCTGGGAGAGTCTCTGGGAGCCCAGCGACGGGGCTGAGGCGGAGACGACGGGGATCCAGGAGGCCAGCCCGGAAGAGACCGAGGCGGGAAAGAGCCCATGCGGCGGGGTGGGGGTGAGGGAGACGGGAGGGAACGCCTGGGGGGCTTTTCAGCTGGAAGTTCCCGCCAGCTGCCAGGAGGAGAGGGGGCAGTGGGGCCGTCTTCCTACCAGGGCGCCTTGGGCCATGCGGCCTCCGTTACAGCTCCCGGAGCCCACAGACTGCAGCAGGAGCCCAGTCTGCGGGCTTTGCCTCTGTGCTGCGATTGTGGGCAAGGCCCTGCCCGTCCAGGCCCCCTGCACCCTGGTGCTGCTCACCTGCCTTCTCATGGGGCCCCGGCACACACAGGCCCAAGAGAGTGCACAGATAGAGGATGCCCACCCACCCCCAGGCACGCAGCCTCCAGCCTTGGAGAGGCCCCCACCCCCCACGCCTGCAGCCTCCAGCCTTGAGGAGGCCCCAACCTCCTCAGGCCTGCAGCCTCCGGCCTTGGGGAGCCTTTAGCCTCAGTGAGGCCCCACCCCCTCCAGCCTCAAGGAAGCCCCCATACCTCCAGGTCCACAGCTTCCAGCCTCAGGGAGCCCCCACCCTCGGGGAGCCCCCACCCCCTGCAGCCTTGGAGAGCGCCCCCCACAGCCTCCATTCCCCCACACCGGTTCTGTCTGCAATCGACACATTTCCTTCCTCAAAAGGATGCATGTTTTCCCTGTCGGGTTTACAAATAACTTCAAATTTTACTGTTTTCTTTCCCTAATGAATTCTCAGAAACATGTTACAAGCTCCCCGGTAACGAACGTGGAGCGGCAGGCTGGGTGCACCCAGTTCGCGCGGCTGAATTAGCCTGACGGCGCCTGGCACACAACTCTGGCCAGCCCAGCTCGCCGCAATTGGTGGGAATCCATTATATTGACAATATCCATTTGTGTAATTCCTGCATTAGGATTTTGTGCTAAACTGTGTTTGAAAGGCACCGCCGACCCTGATTACCTCTTTAATTGTGCTTAAAAATCCAGATTAATCCAGAGTCGAAGTCGACCGCTGGGAAGAGGCCTTGCTGGGCCCAAGCAGGTGCTGGTTCCGGGTCCCTGGGGAGGCTGGTTCCCTGGGGACCCTCCTCTGTGTTGCTCCCCTCGGAGGTGCTGGAAGCTCTGATCCGAGACAGGCTGGCTGGGAGTGCGGGCAGGCGGGGAGTGACATCAGCTCTGGGACCCGGCGCTGGGCTGGCGAGCGGGGCACACCAGGCTCCCCGCGGGGAGCATACACGTGCACACATGCATGCACACGGGTGCACACACGTGCACACGTGCATTGGGATGTGCACACTGGTGCACGCACACATATACACACGTGTGCACCCATATACATGTGCACACATATACACACGTGTGCACACATACATGCTCACACATTGTGCGCACATGCACACACATGCACGTTCCGGCTCCCACTTCATAGGTGAGCTGGATTCAGGCCCCAGAGTGTTCCCTCCACTGAGCGCCCCAGCTCGCATGCACAGTCGGGGTGACCCCCAATCACCTAGTAGGGAGGCCGCGTGCTGGGGCAGGCCCGGTGGCAGGGCTCCTTGGTCAGCCCAGTGCTGGGGGAGGGCTCACAGCAGAGGCCTGTGGGGGTGGGGGCCGGGGAGGTGGGGGCCAGATGAGGCTGCATCCTGTGCCCCCTCAAGGGCAGTGGCCCATCCAGGGGTCCGGGGCTGGGGCGCTCAGTGCAGGCTGCCCCTGGGGGAGGGGCATAGGTGTCTGGGGCCCCCCCCTTGGCCAGTGGGGACACCGCTCTGGGGAGGAGGCCCCCGTGAGCCAGCAGCAGCTGGGGAAGGTGAGGACTCACTGTCCTGGCAAAGGCCTTCCCCCAGGGAGGAAGCAGAGCCTGAAACCAGGCGTGGCGCTCAGTGAGGCGATGGCGCCTGACCCCACCGGCAGCTCAGTAGATGGGCACACACGCATGTGCACACACACATGTGCAAACACGGGTGCACACATGCACATACATGTGCTCAGCAGCCGTCCTGGATGCAGAGCACCCAGTGGGCACTCACTGGTTCAGCATATCCGCAGAACTGGGCAACCTTCTCCACATGTCAGTTTTAGAGCACCTCCGTCCCCCTAAAGTAGGGGGATGTTAAACCTGTTCCCGAGTCTCTGGTTCTTGTTTTGCACACAGACTGGGAAAACCCTCTGGTATTGGTTTTGGCAGGGGGGTTAAGACAGTCCCCAACATGGTGGAGAAGGCAGGATTGGGGTGCGGGAGGGTCACCCCTAGTTAGCTGTCTCTGCAGAAAATTTACCCCCAAGTGCAGCAGCTTGAAACACCACTTGCGTCTCATCTCGAGGTGTCTGCAGCTCAGGAGTGGGGAGCAGCTGAGCTGTGTGGGCCTGGCTGGGGGTGGTCTCTCAGGAGGTGGTGTCAGGTGTGGGCGAGGGACTCCCCGGGGGTGCCTCCCACGGCTGCTGGCAGAAGGCGTGGGTCGCCCGCCTCGCGGGCCCCAGGGCTGCCTGGGTCCCTCACCACGTGGTGCCTCCTCGCCGGGGGCGGGTCACACGTCCAGGTCACGCTCAAGGGAAGGGACGTGGCTGCCAGCTTTCTGCGGTTGGACTTCAAAGCCAGCGCAGGAGGCCACTTTGGGCAACAGCGGCGATGCCGTGGCCTCCGGCGTTTATGGGCGTCTGGCCTCCGGCGGGTGACACCCAGGCCCAGCATCTGGAGCTGGGGGGCTCCAAGTCAGGAGGCCTCGGGGTGGGCTGGCCCTCGGCCCTGCTTTGTCGGGGTCCCCGGACCTCAGGCCTCTACTGACTGCACCCCAAGCCAGCCCAGAGCAGAGAGCCTCAGCCCCGGGCTCAGGGAGGCCGCCACACATCGTGGGAGCTACGCCTGTTCCTTCTCACGCGCGCATAGCCCTTTACAGTTTGCAAAGCCTTCTTGAGAACACGGCTGACTCTGACCCTGGGCTGGGCCTGTCAGCGTCCCTGTGGACGGGCTCCCACAGTCACACCCAGACCGCAGGGCGTGCCAGTTGTCCAGCGGCTCCATCCCAGAGCCCCGGGGGGTGCTCGGGACACAGATCCCAGGCCCTCCTGCAGCCTCAGGGGCCCCCAGTCATGATGCAGAGAGAGAGGGTCTCTCCTAACCCTCCGGACCCTGACCAGCCCACTCGGTGCATGGGGGGCAGGCTCCCCCCCGTCTCCAAGTGGATAGCCAGTCCCTCTCCGGGTAAGCTTGCTTCTGCGTCCCAGAGAGATGGAAGCCTGGGCGCGTGGAAGAACCCCAGTTTGCTCCAACTTGCAGTCCTCTCCCCACATTTATGATGGAGTTTCCAGGTGGGATTCTGACCGCGATGGATAATCGAATGGCAGGGCTCAGCCTCCCACCCACCCCTGGCTGTGGCTGTGGGTAGGCCCTCAGCTTCCGGGGACCAGGATGCCTCTGCCAGAAGCCCACCCCCCAACAGCCGAGTTATTTACTTTCCTTAATAACCTTTTATGAGGGGCCTCGCCCTGGCCTTCAGGAGAGCAGAGGAGGGCTTCGAGGTCATCCTTTGGATGCGAATTTATTAACAAAGTCGGGCCCGCGGCAGGTTAAGCAGCTTCCTCCCGCTGGGCCGCATGGGCTGGACGCCTGGTCTCCCGCTCCAGGTGTGGTGTGGGCCGGTTTAATTAAAGCCTGCCTCTGCCCGGTGACAGCGGGAGACCCCCGGCGGCTCCTCCCACCCGGGACGCCACCCGCCTCCTCTCCGCAACGCCCCCGCCCACCTGCCTCTGAACAGCAGGCCTGGATTTTTAAACGAATCAATTTCTTATGTAATCAATCAAAATCAATAGATTGTATTTAATTCTACAATTAATTGTATTGAAGTATAATTTATACGTGATAGGCCGCTCCCACCGTCAGCAGATGGTTCGATGAGCTTCGACAACCCCGCTCTCGTGAAACAGCTTCACGGCCCAGACGGGGCCCCTGTCCCCACGCAGCTCGGGGGACCCTGGGCCGTGTGAGCCCCTGAGCACTTGAGAGGTGGCCGGGCCCCGCTGAGGTGCGCCGTGTGCATGAAACGCACACGGCATTCCCAGGACTTAGCCTAGGAGGAGAAAAAAACACCAAAATACCTCACCAATGACTTCCATACTGATCACCTATTAAATGGTGACATTTGAACATGAGTCAACACAGCGTATTATTGAAATCGACGTCACCTGTCTCCAGTGCTTTCTAAATGCACCTGAGAGTTTAAAATGGAATCAGGGGCCGAACCAGGCTTCTGTCAGCCAGGCCTGGTGCAGGGCAGCGTCCCCGCGCTCCAGCCCAGCCCCACCGCTGAGGTCCAGCCCCGGCCCGGGCACCGTACCCCTCGGAGCCCCGTGCTCCCATCTGTGAAACGGAGACAGAGACGCTGCCCCCTGGGCTTGTCGTGGGGGCTGAACATCAGAGGTGACTTGTCTGCAGAACCCCGGCCCTGGGCGTGGGCTCCACACACTGGGATCACCAGCAGGGTCACCACCCTGGCCTCTGGCCCCCACGGTGCCCCGTCAGGTCCAGAAGGTGGGAGATGGGGGCAAAGGGCTAGAGGAGAGCGATTCCTTGACCTTATTTGCAGGCAGGACAAGAGTGTTGCTGTCCAGGCTCTAAGTCGTGTCTGACTCTGGGACCCCAGGGACCGCAGCATGCCAGGCCTCCCTGTCCTTAGCTATCTCCCGGAGTTTCCTCAGACTCATGTCCACTGAGTCAGTGATGCCATCCAGCCATCACCCCAAAAGGCTCCTCCTGCTCCTCCTGGCCTGTGATCCGTTTGGAATTCCTTACATGTGGTGTGAGATTGGGATCCAAGTCGATTCTTCTTTTGGCGTGTCTGTGTATTCCGAACGACCGCCCCTCCTCCCCTGAGCTGCCTCTGTGCATTCGCTGCCCGTGACGTGTGTGTCCAGCTCTGGCCTCTGTTTGGTTCCGTTGCTCTGTCTGTCTGTCCATCTGTCTGTCTGTCTCTCGTTCTGGGGCCACTCTGCCCTGATTACTGTCATTTGATAACAAGTCAGAATCAGATGGTCCCAGCTGTGGCACACGGGGTCTCCAAGCTTCGCCGCCGGGTGTGGGATCTTTAGTTGTGGCGCATGGGATCTCGTTCCCCGGCCAGGGATGGAACCCGGGCCCGTGCGCTGGGAGCACAGTCTTAGCCGCTGGTCTGTCCTGACTATTCTAGATCCTGTGCATTTCCACTTGACCTGTAGAATCAGTATGTCGATTTCCACAGGAGCCTGCCAGGATGGAGTTTCAGGTGGCCCCAGACCCCCACTGTGGAGCTCCCATGGAGTCATCAGCCCCTGGCTTGGGGTTCATTTCCCGCTGGACTCAGGGGAGCAGGGGAGGGGGCAGGATCCCCAGATGCTAACCCTAGCCCTGTGCTTCGCCCCTGACCCTGCAGGACAACCTGTCACTTCCCTTCCCTGAGCCTCCTGCTTGTGACCTAGGACAGTGGTGCCTGCGGCCCAGGCCTGTTGGGGATCAGGGGAGGGGGTGTTGGGGCAGCACTGATGTGTGTGACTCCCCCAATGGGCTCTCAGCTGCCCCTGCGGCCACCCTGTCCACAGGCACCTCCCCAAAACGTTTGTAGCCACATCTCTGTATGGTGAAGACACTGCTTATAAAAGACAGTTCGCTTACGAAGCTGGACCACTTGTGCAAACTCAGCATCCCAGGATTCACCGGCATCCTTTAATGAAAACAGACCCTTGTTTGGGGAGACTGCCTGGCTAGGGTGCTGCTCTGTCTCAAGGTAGAGACGCCGGTGGGGGGACTTGGAACCACGCTCACAGCAACGCCATGGGCTGACCCTCTGCTCGCCCTTCCACACTCTGCACCCGGCCCTGCGGCTAAGGGGAGCTTGTCAGGACAGCCCGCCCGGCCCTGGGAGCTCCCCATCCCCAGCCAAGCCAGGCAGGGAGCGCGCTCCCACGCCCTTAGCCCCCGGGTCCCGTCACACGCTGCTTCCCCTCCTCTGGGTCCTCCTGCGGTCCTGGGGCCCCGGCAGGGTCGTCCCGCCATACCAGGGGCCCAGAGAGGCTGTGTTCTCCCCAGGCGGCTCAGCCTTGCGGGATGGGGTGCACAGCCCCCGGCTCCCACCCAGCCCACCCTGTCACCTGCCCTCCCCTGCTGTCCTGCACGGCCTGCAGCTCCTCGCCTCGGAAGAGCCACGCCAGCTATTTACCATGGACTCATTTACGTTAGTTAATTTTTAATAATGTTGAAATTTCCATGTGAGTAGTTCAGGTAAATTATTTATTAAAGCACAGGATAAAGGGATCAGGAGAATTACCAGCCGACAGTGTTCCCTGCGCCGGGGGCGGGGCAGCGGTACCGCCGGGTCCCGCGCCGGCCTGGAGGCTGGACAGGCGGCGATGGCCCTGCTCACTCCACGGCCCCCTCCGCGACCCCCACTGACCACCCGGCTGCCCGGTCCTGCAGCCCGGCGGCCCCCAAAGCCCTTCACCAGCTTCGTCGGCGCCCCAGCAGCGCCCCCCACGCCGAATCTATCCCCAGCAGTCAGGGGAACTTCGTCTGACAAATCAGACCGTATCTCCCTGGAGGGTGAGCCCCCTGGACACCCCTGGAGACCCCCACTCTCCTCAGGACGCCAGCCTCCCTGCTGCAGCCCAGGCCCCGCCGCGTCTGCGAAGGCCTCTGCCCAGCCCGGTCTGGATCCCGCGGGCGCTGAGCCCTGGGGCTGCCCCCCAAAGCAGCGGCATCTTGGGGCCTCAGTGCCCCTCACTCAGCCATCACGGCCACAGAGCTCCGGGCCGGGATGCGACCGTGCCGTGCTGTATGTGAAGGGATCGGATCGACCCCCAGGCCCTGTGTCCTGACAGCCCGCCGGCTTATTTCTCACGCACGCGGGGCTGCCTGGGGGTTCAGCTCTGCGTCGGGAGGGACAAGGGCTGGACGGGGCTGGGCCTCAGAGGGCAGCCCCATGGACACGGCTCTGCTCCACGCAGCTCTCGGGGATCCAGGGCCTCGGTCCGGTCGAGGGGAGAGAGGCCGCTCTGTCTTGGGCAGCTCCAAGGCTCGGATGCCAAACCCGCAGAGGCAGATGGGCCCCCCACCCCTGGAACAGCACGGACTCTGGGTCTCACTCTGCGGGGTCCTGGGGGGGCTCCAGGGAGGGCTGTCAGGGGGAGGGGGATGGGCCGGGCTTCTCTCCCGATCCTGCCTTCCACCTGCTGACCTGGGGCCTCCCCAAGCCCCTCGATGCCTCCTCTGTCTAAAGGGGGTAAGTACCCGCCTCACTGCGGAGGGTGAGGTTCACGTGTGAGAGCGATCGTAAATGCTGAGAATCAGAATTATGAATGACAGAGAGGGGCGTCCCTGGAGGTCCAGCGGTTACGACCCTGAGCCTCCCCGGCAGGGGCGCAGGATCCACTGCTGGTCGGAGAATTAAGATCCCACATGCTACGCGGCTTGGCCAATAAATAAACAAAACTTTTTAAAAGCCTGCTATAGTGGCTGAGAGTGAGGGTCGCTGAAAGCACCTTGGCGCTGGCCCAGACTGATTCCCAGGACGAGAAGAGTCACACCTACCAGGCCTGAGGCAGGCACCCCGGAATTATGCGCTCATCTGGGGAGGGGCCTGAGCCCCCCACGGGGCCCTGGCCAGGGAGAAGGGGCCCAGCTTCACCCCAGGGACCCAGTCCCCTGTAAGGGCCGGGCGGTGGAAATCACACCGACCTGGGATACAGGAGGCGACCAGGAGGGGATGGGAGCTCCTGGAGACCGAGCCCCAAAGAGAGTCACGCCTCATGCAGGGCCCGGGCGATAACAATAAATCGTTATTTAAAATGACAATCAGTGGAACAAGCGACAGAATTGAGCACTTGAGCATTTACATGTTTTCCTCATTAATTAATTACCCCCCAGGAGGGAGGCGGCGCTGGTACCCCCATTTACGGAGGCAGGAAAACTGAGTCCCAGTGAGGTTAGGGGCCTGAGGTCGCACGGCTGGCACTGAGAGATGAGTGTGTTTCCAGGAAGGCGGGAGGGTGCTCCCGAGGTGCTCAAGGAGGCGACCCCATGGGGGCTGATGGCCGGTCCTGGGGCGGCCCTCCTGTCCCCGTCACCCAGCCCCCACCCCAGCTCTGCGGCAGGGCCAGTGGGAGCCCAAGCCAGGTACATCCCCGTGAGAACACGTCTTGTGTCTATGATTTAATCTCAGAGGGCTGATCCCCACCAAGCGGGGCGTGGCCCCAGTCATTTTACGGAAATGAATTGCCTGGGAAAATGGAAATTGTCACTTTATTATAGGATTAAAACATTCAATCCATTTTAGTAATAATAGAAATATGGCCAGCCCATGCCCTTCCCGCTCCCTCTTATTAACGAATTAGGTCTGACCACCCCCCAGGGTTTTCTCCCAGAAGGCGGTCTCCAGACAAAGGGTGCGGCTCCCCCACCCAGACATCCCCACCTCAGGGCTCCTTGGGGGCCTCCCCAGCCGGGGTCACCCGCCCCGTCTCCTCGACACCCTCGCCGGCCCTGGCCCCCTGCCCCCTCTCTGGCTGGTCCTGCCCCGGACACCGGCCCAGCTCCGGCCTGCCGAATCCTTGCTCCGGGGCTGCCCCTCCTGCGGGCCCAGCCCTCTGGCTGCGGGAGTGTGCTCTCGCACCCAGAACCGCCAGGCGGGGTTGGAATGCATGCAGGGGCCCCCGCTCTTGCCTCCCCACTCGGGATGTTCACCTGTGGGTGGGTCACCGGGCCGTGACCAAGACAGTCTGTGCCACACTTGTGTGTTTCTATTGTGGTAAAAACATGTGGCATGAAATTCACCCTCCCAACTGCTTTCTCAAAATGTTTATGTAATGTGGCCGCCCCAGGCCTTGGCTGCCGCATTCGGGGACTTTGATTGCGGCATGCATGACCTAGTTCCCTGACCAGGGACCGAGCCCCGGCCCCCCGCACTGGGAGTGTGGAGTCTTCGCCCCTGGACACCAGGGAAGTATCCTCCTGACCGTTTTTAAGGGTCCAGCTCAGGGGCACGATGCCCATCACCTTGCTGTGTAACCAGCCCCGCCGCCTGTCTCCCCGGGGGTGACGGGGAGGCGTGGGCTGATGGCCGCGGAGGGCCAGTCGGTCAGAGTCGCTGCTGGGCGCTGGGTGGAGAGCTGCCCGTCCCCCTGGACCGTCCTCAGGAAAGGAGAGCGAGGTGAGTCCCAGGTGACCGCTTGTTGCCCCGGCCATCCTCTCTCCTTCCTGGCGGGTCAGGCACGCACTGGATGCCTGCTGGTCACTGGCATTTCCCCGGAGAGCTCCGTGGGTCACGCTGGGCCCCAGGCTCTGTGGCCAGAGTGACCTGCTCAGGGCCTGGGGCCTGTGTCTGTTGGTAGGCCCACTAACCCAGCTGCCTCCCACCCAGCTTGCTGGCGGGGGGCAGCTCCGGGTGCCCTCACTGGCTCTCAATGGCCTGGCATTTACACAGTGCCCTGGCCAGGCCATGCACTGCCCACGGGCACATCCTGGGTTTCCAGCTCACCTCTGAGCAAGAAGCAGGGTCTACATGGCTGGAAGCAGGTTATTGCCTTCCAGGGCGAGCTGTCCGCAGGAGCTGTGGACAGGCGGGAGGCGTCGGCCTCCTCCAGAACAGAATCATTAGAACAGGATCCGGGGGCTCGGGCCCGCCTGTCCCTGGGGGAGGCCGGCGCTTCCGTCTGCCCGGGCTGGGCTCCCAGGGCAGCTCTGTCGCCGAGGGTGGGCGGGGAGGGGGCGGGAGGGGGTCCCAAGGCCCGGAACCCCCAAGGGGACCTCAGAGGCTCATCTGGTGCCCCGCAGATGGACCACAGACAGGTCTGGCACTCGGAGTCCCTTGGGGACGAAGGGCACAGGCTGGCAGGACAGGGAGGCCCCAGGCCTCCTCGGGGAGACCTCCCTGACCACTCATGCCTTTCTGCCCACCCTGCCCGGGCTCTCAGAGGTGGTCCCTGCCTCAGCTCCGCTCACCCCTGCAGGAGGACAGGTGGATCACCCACCGGCCCCAGCCTCCAGACCCCGCCTAGGGCTCCCCGTCATCCGTGGGAGGAGTAACAGCAGCCCGAGGGCACCGCGGACCTGGGGCCGGCCCTCGCCCAGGACGCCCGTCCTCCGGCCTTCACATCCTGAGCCGGGGTGGAGGCTGGACGCTGGAGCCGCCCCAGGGCGGGGCGGTCCCACATCCTGTGGGGGCGCCAGCTGCCCTGTCCTGCCACCCAGGCCGGGGTCTCTGGCCTCCGGTCGGCTCTCCAACCCCAACCTCCGCCTGGCCCTCTCAGGAATTGCCTTTGGCTCCTGTTACCAGAGTCGGCTTTCGAGGACTTCAAACCGGAGACCACGGAACACACAACAGGGGTGACAGCGCACGTGCGCTTCCATCATGCCACCGTGCTGTGCGTGCCGTGTGTCAGCTGCTCCGTCGTGCCCGACGCTGCGACCCCATGGGCTACAACCTCCAGGCTCCTCTGTCTGCGGGGATGCTCCAGGCCAGAATATTGGAGTGGGTTGCCCGCTCCAGGGGATCCTCCCAACCCAGGGATGGAACCCAGGTCTCCCGCATTGCTGGCGGATTCTCTACCAGCTGAGCTACCAGGGAAGCCCAAGACTACTGGGGTGGGTAGCCTCTCCCTTCTCCAGGGATCTTCCCGACCCAGGAATCGAACCAGGGTCTCCTGCATTGCAGGCGGATTCTTTACCAGCTGAGCTACCAGGGAAGCCCCATGGGCCATATTCACATCAAAAGAATGTGTTGAGCACCTACTGTATACCAGGGGCCTCAGTAGGTGCTGGGGAGACAGTGAGAGGGCAGGGCCTGTGCCCAGAGCAAGCCATCCGCTGGGACAGACCGTGAGGAGTATATCAAGCTTGAACCAACAGGTGATTTTAAGCTGGAAACACGGAGCAAACAGTCCGGCAGAGCATCTAGAGCTGAGGGTCAAGGTCCCCAAACAGACCAACACCCGCGTCGTCGCGCTGATGGATCCCGGGACTCAGGAATCCAGGCCCAGCATCGAGGCCTGAGCTCGGAGCCTCAGGAGCTGGGGGTGACTTGCCTGGGGGCCAGTGGGAGGCGTCTTCCCTCAAGTTTCCGGGGCCCCCGCCAGCCACCGTCCGACCCTCTGGCCTGCTGGCCCGGCCGCCTCCAGGTGGCTGCTGGGGCTCCTCACAGCATGGCCACAGGGTCCCAGGGGCTCATTGGAGCCCTGCAGGTGGGAGGTGGAGACTGAGGCTCAGAGAGGTGACCCAGCTGCCCAGGGTCACACAGTGAGACCCGCGGGCTGGAAATCAGGACTCAGAGCCCAAACCCCCAAGCGCCAGCCAGGCACTCGCCGCAGGGGTAAATCCCCTGATCAGATGGCCCTGCGGGAAGTCCCAAAGACCCGGCCGGCCAGAGGTCACCGGGCGGGGGACACTCCAGGCTCCGGACCCCAGTCTGCACTGGCAGGTGATGAGGGGACCCCAAAGCCCCCCGAGATTCTGGTGTCCTGAGTGAGGCCTCAGTGGTCCTGCTGTGAGGATGACCGCAGGACCCCTCCCCTTCCGTTTCCCCACTCTGGGGCTGCTGCAGGCGTGAACTGCCGGGACTCAGACAACCCCACACGGAAACAGGTGCAGGGAAGGGGGGCGACCCCACCGCAGAGCTGCTTCAGTCCAGGCAGACGGGCTCCAGAATCCTCGTACTCTGTTCTGCCTCGGTGGGAGGGACGTGCCGTCAGGAGTTCTGGGTCAAGGTGCTCCAGCCCATAAGCCGTGGGGAGACTACACACGCACACACACACGCGCGTGCACACACACTCACGCTGTCCCTGCTCAGCAGGGACCAGATGCACAGGCAGAATCAGGCTGCAGGCTTCGAGAAGAAGCGCATCCCCGGGGGCCCCCAGGAGCATAAACAAGCCTGGGGCTCCCACGGGAGCTGAGCCAGCCCAGGGCACCCGCCCTCCTGGCCCAGGGCCTTCCTGGGGCTGCAGCCAGGACGCGAATCCTTTCTCCAGTTCAGGCTTCTGTTTCTCCCTGCGCCCCGAGTGTGCCAGAATTTCTGGGACCCAGAGCCCCCGCTCAGTCCTGATGAAGCCAAGACTCATCTCGGGCGCCAACCCCGCAGGCTGGGACGCTGCACCCCCGAGTCCCCGGTTCGGGCCCTCCTCCCGCCTCATCCCATCACACAGGCTCTGGGGGAGCAAGACTGTCACCCAGGTCAGACTCTTTGACCAATGCACACCCAGCTTGGGACAAAGTGATGCCAGCGGCAGCTTCTGGCCCTGGTCCTGCCAAGGCCCATGCAGACCCTCCCAAACACACATGGTGGGTTTTTATTAAACTTCCTTGTTAATTGCACAAGTAATGCATGAATACATCTGCAGTGAGTTTTAAAACAAATCCCAGACACCATATCATTTCACTCATAAATACTTCAGTGTACAAATGGGGCTCTAAATAATCTGCTGTTGAAATGATGTTGGTTTCTCCTACGATCAGCACAGTCCAGGCTGATGGAGCGGGGAGCGGGAGCCCGCCCCAGCGGCCCCAGCGTCCAGCGCCTCCCCGGGCTGCTCACGCCTGGGCAGTCCATGTGTGGGGCCTCCGTATGCCACGCTCCCCATGTGGACTGGGGTGCACACCTGCCTTCTCGCTTGGTCCCAGGATTAGCGTTTCCCCGGGGCTGTTCCCAGCTCACAGATCGTCGCCCCCCAGGGCCTCCTTGGACACCGTGATTGGGCGCTATTCTTCGCGGTTATAAACACCACACCGAACATCTTTGTGCTCCAGACGATGTGTGGTTTTTGGATCATTCTTCACAGAGAGGTTCCCAGACTCTGGATTCCACAATCAAAGCTTCCAGCCCCAAATTGCTTTCCAAGAAGACCCAAACACTTGAAACCCTCATAAATCACAGTGGGGCCCGGGCGCTGGGAGGCAGCAAGGTCGCTCTCGCCCCCGGGGTGAGGCGCGTGGGAAGGTGGCCTGGAAGGCTGGGATCTGTTCCTCGCTGGCCTGCTCATCGCCCTGCCCGTGGCGGGGCTGGGCACGGCTTCCTCCCTCCATGCCGTCAGGTCCCCGTCCTGTCAGCCGGGCACATGTCGTGTGGGCTGTGTCTCCCAGGCATCCTCATGGGAGGCTAACCCTTGGCGCCCGGGACAAAGGACTGCCCTGTCCACTTTTGTGTGATTGCATCAGCTCTGGGGGAATCCAGGAGAGGGCTGGCGAGGGAAATATCCGCTCTGTGTGTGTGCTAAGTCCCTCAGTCATGTCTGACTCTCCGCGACCCCGTGGACCATCACCCACCTGCATCCTCTGTCCATGGGATTCTCCAGGCAAGGATACCGGAGTGGGTTGCCATGCCCTCCTCCAGGGGATCTTCCCCACCCAGCAATTGAACCCACATCTCTTAAGTCTCCTGCATGGACAGACAGGTTCTTTACCACTAGCGCCACCTGGAAAGCCCTATTCTGGGTGTGCATTAAAATCTGTTTTCTTTTGCTCTCTCCTTCTCCCCAGGGTCTCAGCCTTGCCCCTGGAGAAGGAAGGCAGCTTTGCTGAAACCAAGCGGGAAAGCTGAGATCTCAGTGTCAGGAGCCCCAGCCCTCATCTCTCCCCACCTGCTCATGTTCTGGGGCCCAGAGAGGGCAAGTAAGTTACCCCAAACCACACAGCATCTGGTAGCAAAACTCAGCACACACGCATCCACTCAAACCTCCTGCTGGCTTCCTCTCAGCTCTGAGGCTGGCAGATCGAGGAACTCAGCTGGCCGTGGATGAGGAGAGCCAGCAGGCAGGACACCACAGCGGGCCCCCTTCCTGGGCGGCCTCCAGGTGGTAGCACCCGGCCGAGCTGCCCTGGGGTGAGTTCTCAAGGCAGATGCTACCAGCATCCTTGTTTTAGTCGAGGAAACCGAGGCGGAGCCTGCGAGCCTGGAACAAGGGCAGTCAGCCCACTGACCCTACCCCCGCGGGGGTGTGTGTTTCTGTTCATTGGCTGAAGTCCTGCCGGGGGCGGGGTGGGGTGGGGGGTGCAGATGGAATAAAATCAAGCTAGGTGAGAAATCCAGGGGGAGGGAATTGGGGGCGGGGTGGCAGATGGAATCGTCCCCCCGCCCGGGGTACCCCAGGGGCGAGGAGGCAGGGTGGGGTGGGGAGAGGGAGGGAGGCCCGGTCCAGGCCCACTGCTGGTGCCTTCTGGCCTGTCCTCGGGGGGAGCCCCTGCGCCCCTCTCCCGCAGACCCCCACCCCCACGCAGACGCCCACCTCCAGGCCCAGCCCCAGGTGCGCAGCGCCGGGCGGCTCCAGCTGTCAGCGGGGCGATGAATTACACGCTGTAAGAAGGTGTTGACAGGAGCAGCTGGACGCGCAGGGGTGATGAAAAGAAGCAAATCCAGGGCGATCCCCGCGCGCGGCCTCCGGAGCGGCCAGGGCCGCCCCCTGGCGGCGGCGCGAGGAACCGCCCCTGCCCGCCCCGCTGCGCGACCCCATTTCACAGGTGAGGACGCCGAGGCCCTGCGGGGGCGCCCAGGCGCAGAGCCCGGGGAAGGCCCCCTGCGCACAGCGCAGTGGGGGCCAGTCGCTTCCCCCTCTGAGCTGCGGTCTGGTCGCTTGTCCTCCAGCACGCAGAGGCCTGGCGGGCAGCACGATAAGGACCGCTGAGTCTGGGCGTGGCCAAGGGGCGGGGGGGAGCCCGGTCCGCGAGCGCTGGGTCAGGCGCAGGCTCTGCTTGACCCCCTGGACCCCGCCCACTGCACCTGCTGCCTGCCGTGGGAGAGGTCCTGGGGGCTCTGGGGTAGAGGAGGGGACCCCACCAGCCTCATGGCAGAGGCCCTCCGCACACAGACACACGCTCAGAGGTAGGAAGAGGGGAGGTGGGTCAAAGACCCCGCACAGCCTCAGCTGGGGGCTCTGCCCAGGGGCCTTCCCTGCCCCCTCCTCCCAGCGACAGAGACAGACTCACAGACAGGGTGTCGGGAGCAGAGAGAAACCGGGAGTCAGAGGATGGGGACAGACTCTGAGACAGGTCCACGGCCAGGGAGGGGGGGGGGCGGTCTCAGGGAAGGTGTTCACAGGGGTTACGGTGTCTCCCTGGGGTATTTGCACAAAGGATTTCCAAACGGTCTTTGTCTAAGGCCGCCCACCGGTCGTCAAAGCCAGCAGTGACCACCCTGGGACCCGGGCAGGGCCGGCGGGTCCAGCATCCCCTCTCAGCCCCGATGTGGATGTCTGAGCACAGATACGAGTACTTCTGTCCCATGCAGGCCTGGGGTACCCGGGAAGGACAAGGCTCACCGAGGGGTCAGGCAGAGGCCAGCCAAGCAGCTACACCTGGATGGGGCCAGAGCTCCCAGCACCCACCCTGCTCAGCTGTGGAGGTGCAGACACACAAGTGGTCTCCACTTGAATACTCCTACTGACGGGGAGATCACCACCCCCAGAGGTAGCTCAGAGGGTTAGTCTGGGCATTTTGGAGAATTTCAGAGTCCGCTCTTATTTGGAGAGAATCCTTCCTCCTTTCTCAGCCCGCTGCCCCTCAGTTTCCAACGCTGAGCTCTGGAACCATTCATACCAGACATCGATCGGACAAGCATTTGTCAAGGGAGAAGGCCCGCAAGACCAGGGCGGAGGAGGCAGGGAGCAAGGTTTGACTCAGCACCCCCTGTGCCAGGCCTCAGGCACCCTCATGATAATGTGGGGAGGGCGTCGCCCACTTCACAGAGGGGAAAACTGGGGCTCAGAGGAGTTAGGGCTCTGTGCTGGGCGCCAGGCAGGCTGGGGGTGCGGAGGGCATTCAGCGTCTATGGGGACAGAGGTTTCCTGTGGGAAACTCCTGGAGACGGATGGTGGAGATGTCGGCACAACCGTGTGAATGTTGTTCCTGCCACAGGGGTGTGCACCTCAAAGAAAGCCTCTGACGGACGATGTAACACGCAAAGGCCCTGCTGCGGGCCAGCCCGAGCCCAGGGCAGAGGTTGCTGGCCGACCCCGCACCCTTTCTGGCCAAACCTCGTGCATCAGGTCCCTAGTACCAAACTCCCCCACACTTAAGAGCTCGAAACAACGCAACAGAGAGAAATCGGTTTTCTTACAGTTCTGGAGGTCAGAAGTCTACGGGACGTGCGGGGCCACTTCCTTCTGAAGGCTCTTGGCCATTTCCTGGCCTTTTACAGCTTCTTCAGCTGCCTGAACGCCTTGGCTCGGGGCCCCTTCCCGCTCTTCTCAGCTTTCTGAGCCTAAGGATGCCTGGGCTCCGTCAGACCCGCTTGGACAATCCAGGCTCCCTTGCTCACCTCAACAGCCTTAACTTGCTGACAGAGTCTATGTTCCTTCTGCCGTGTGCGGTGAGCCGGTCACAGGACCTGGGACGAGGACGTGGACACTTCTTGGGGTCGTGTTTCGGGCGCCACAGCTGGATTAGACCTCCTAGTCCTTCTCACCTCGGGGGTCAGAGGTGGCCCACGTGTTGACACAGCATCGCAGCACACACGTTCCCCGGCATCCAATCAGACATTGCCAGGAACGTGGTCAGCAGATGAAACGTTTTTTCGTGTCTACTTTGCATTTTCCAATTTTTACGTGAACCTGTGTTCTTGCATTCAGATAATGATCAATACATAAATGATATAGATGATAGGTAGCAGTGTTAGATGGAGAAATGGGAAATGACTGATAGATAAATGATATATCATCAATAGATGCATAAACGAGGGATGGGAATAGGTCAGTAGATCCATGACTGATGGGTAAGTGGTCCCTACACGACAGACGGGGGCGCGGATGGGTGATGGGTGGATGGTGCTGGCAGGGAGGGCTTCCCGGGGGTGCTGGACTCTGCCTGTAGCTCCAGGTGCTCACAGAGGTGGAGACGACCAGGGCGAAGGGTGCAGATGGGAGAGAGAGTGGAGTTGGTGCCCAGTGGGTCAGAGGGGGAGAGGGCCTCATGGAGCAGAGGCGCCGGACCGGAGGATGGAGGAGAGGGCCAGGCCGAGGCGGGCTGAGCCAGGCAGAGCTCCTGCCAAAGCCCAGGGTTGGGCGGGCCGCAGAAAGCCCCAGGAGGCGGGGTGCGGTGTGAGCTGGTCCCTGCCCTGTCTCCCTCTTATTCCCACAGCATCTGCGAGGTCAGCGGGCGCTCCCCTCACAGCGAGGGACAGGGCGTGGGGGATGGGGGGCAGGCTGGGCAGGGTGCAGGGTGCCAGGGACAGGTCACCCACGGGAGGTGGCACAGGAGGAAGGCAGAGACAGAAGGGCCCAGAGGCCCGTGTGGGCAGCCCTGGGCAGGAGAGGACCTGCTCCTCCCTGCTGGCAGAGCCCCCGCCTGGGGACTAGCCCCCGAATCCCAAAATCGAGGTGCCCGTGGCGGCGGGCCCACCGTTTGTCAGGAATTCAATTAGGTGGCAGAGTCGTTATTAATTTTATAGGCTTTTCTGGTCTGGAGGCTGTGCCGGGGGCAGAATCCAGCCGCCGCTTCCCTCGAGCCTGGGGTCAGCCCGCGCAGGCGCTGGCCGAGGTATTAATGAGATGCCTCTGGGTGCAAATAATAGTTTAATAGGTGTGACTTACCCGGGTGCTGCCGCCCGCGCCTCCCCACAAGCCCGGGCCGCCCGCCTTGTTGGAATAAGTAATTAGACCGTTCGGACACTCGCTTTGACACTTTAATAAAGTGTCAGCCATCACCCATGTGGTACTTAATAAAATAAAATTAAACATTCATGACGTTTCTGTATGCATTGTATTTCAGATATATCAGCCCCACTCCTCGCCCCCTCCCTGCCCCCAAGGTTTAATTCCAAGGACACCCCCTTCCCACCTCTCAGAAACCGCAGTGTGGCTGGTGGGGTGTGGGGGGGAGGGAGGTGGGGGAGACCCACGGGCACCTGGGACCGCGACCCACAGGGCCCGGAGGGGCAGGAAGGGGAGAGGTGGCCACATCAGGGAGCAACAGGGACCGAGGCAGCTCCAGAGATGCCCCCAGGATCTGGGCCTGGCCTCTGGGTTTCTGCCTTCCCGTCACCCCGGCCAGCACTCTCAGCTCCCCCCGCCACCCTCGACCACCCCTCACAGAGGCCGCTGAGACCCCGACGGCGCCTGCCTGGGGCCAGAGGAAACAGACTGGGGTGAGGAGGCTGTAGAGACCCTGGGCTCCGGGCACCCGAGACCCCCCAGAGCACTCCACCTGAGAGCAAGAGTGGGCAGCTTCTGAGGGCCTGCGGGGCCCGGGACCTGGGGCCACTCCGTCTCTCCGTGTGGACCCCCAACTCTGCCGCCCCCAGCTGAGGCCCCCGATCCCTGCACCCGCCCCCACACCTGCTGGAGACGGAGTTTTCTGATGACGGAAGGAACAGCCAGGGAGGCCAGGAGAGCTGGGGGTGGGGGCGTCGCGTGGAGGGCAAGGCCAGGGAGGGCCACGTGGTCACCGGGTCAGCCCGCCAGGACCTGTCCTGGGGAGCCGGGGCTCTGTGCCCGCGCCAGGACCTCACCCCCGGGGGCCCGGCGCTCAGCCCCATCCGGATGCAGCTCTCCCCGTGAGGGCAGTGCCTGTGGGACGATGCGTGTTCTCGCAGGCAGCCCCCAACGTGTGGCTGGGACCGTGCTTGGCCACGCCGGCCACGTGGCCAGAGGGGCCTGGGGGTGATGCCAGCGCGGGCGTGGGCGCGGAGGGCCAGGCAGCGAGGAGAGGCCGCAGCCCAGGGCTCATCCCTGCCTATCCGGCCGCGAGGAGCCGGCCGCCGGACTTGGGGAGTGTCTGACATGCGGACAATAAGGGCACACGGTGAAGAATCCGCCTGCCATGCAGGAGCCCCAGGCTTGACCGCTGCGTGGGGAAGATCCCCTGGAGATGGGAATGGCCGCCCACTCCAGTGTCCTTGCTGGAGAACCCCGTGGACAGAGGAGCCTGGCGGGCTGTCCATGGGGTCGCACAGAGTTGGACACGACTGAGAGACTTTCACCTCACTGAGGGCCCGCTGAGAAAGACGTCCCAAAGGCGCCCCGGTTCCCTCTGCCAGCCTCAGGGAGCCTGCAGGGGGTGGGCCCCTCAGCCCTGCTCAGGCCCGCCCCATCTCCCCACACGCACCGCCCCCCTGGGATGGACGAGACCCTCTGAAGTGCCCGTCCGTCCCTTTTGGCTCCGGGGCTGGGGATGCCCCTGCCTCCGATGCCAACCTGAAGCACACACCCCCCTCACCCCCCACCTCGTCCTCCAGAGGTGAAAGCAGAGCGATGCCCATCGCAGCCTGTGGCCGGAAGGAGATCAGACACAGCTTTTCCTGCCTGGACTCTGTTTTCATTTGAGCGGTTCAAACACTGGACCTCGGGGCCGGGTTGGGCCTGCCCACCTCGCAGTCATCCCGGCCCGGGTAATTCGGCGCCTGGGGCCTCGCCTGGGGTTCCATCCACCCTCAGACGCCCACTGCAGCCTGTAGTGCCTAGGGGCTGTCCCAACCCGGCCCCCAGAGCCCGGTCAGGCCTGGGCCTTCGGCAGACATGGGCGCGGCTGGGCTGGTTTCTGACAAATGCACAGGTTTTGAGGGACAGCTGAGCTGAGACAAGGCCACCTGATGCCTGGGGGCAGCGGGCGGCTGGCTGGCTCTGTCCTGCCCTCTCCTCTCCCACTGTCTCTGCCTGTCTCTCTCCTTTCTCTTCCTCTCTCTCACCCCCCAAGTTTGTAGCTGAATCCCTATGGATTAAATTTACGGAGAAGATGGGCTCCCTGGCTCCCTGACGAGCGGCACCAGCTCACGAGGCACCGGCCTGCACCCTCGGGTGCTGCCCGCATGCCCTCCCTCTGCACATGGGGCTCCTGCGGGACGTGTGAGGCGCCCAGCCCACCGGCAGCTCAGGCGGCGGGGGTCCCCAGGCCGACCCGTCTTCGGTCCTCAGCCCCCTGAGCTTCCTGCCGTGCCCCCACCAGCTGGCTCGTGGGCGCGCTGGACGGCCTGGAAGTGGTGACGACCTGGCATTGGGCACCGCAGGGGCGTCAGGGGAGGGGGCTTGGGTAGAGTGGGGTCACACCCACCCAGGCTGAGCAGAGGGGGTCCTGCCACAGAGCCAGGGCAGGCAGGACACTGAGGGTGAGGGAGAGGAGGTCCCAGCGTCCCCAGCCCACCCCAGGCCCGGAAGCCTCCTGGACTGGTTTCCACAAGCTGCAGGGCCGTCAGGCGGGGCAAGCTGGGCTTCAGCCTGGATCCCAGCTGTACCTCCCCTCTGGGGACCAGGTTGAGCCGTGTGGGGGCCCTCCTGCTCTCTGCTCCCTTGACCTCCAGACTCCACAGTTGGGCTGCTCTACTGAGTTATGTGACTGGGGTCTGAGGGTCTCCCCACCTCCAAGACTCCTGGCAGATGTTTTGTTGATATTCAATGATGCGGCCTTATTTGTCGGTTATTTGCGGGGGTGCGTGGGCTCTCTCCCGGCCCAGGGGAGAGGGATCTGGCTGGGCAGGTGCAGCAGCAGGGCCGGCACCGACCCCTTCTCACAGGAGATGTGAGCCCAGGATGCAAGCCCAGCCAGAGATCTTCCCACAGTGCCCTGCAGCCCTGGGCTATAGCAGTCACTGTGCAGAGTCCCCGCCCCTGGCTTCTGCCCATCACATCCGCCTCCTGTCCCTGCTGCCTGGTGCAGCGGCGAGTGGGTGAAGGGTTATGCCGTCAGGGCTGCAGGGCCCTCTGAGACCACCCACCCGCCGCCCACGCCAGGGAGGGACCACCCATTGGCCCAGCCTCAACAGCCTGAAAACTCCAGGATTCAGCCTCTTGTTCTAGGTGCTACCCGCTGGCACTCAGACCCTCCCTTCGGGAAGGCTCCTCCCCGGGGCCGGGTGGGGGGCCTGTGTCATCCTGTCTGGAACTGGGTCTCCAGGCAACTTCCCAGAGGCGGGGGGCTTTGGGGGTCCCGTGGCTGCCCGGTCAGGACCCCACTCTTGTTGCTCCGAGGAAGCGTCTCCCTGGGCCTGCAGAGTCTTCTCCAGATAACACTTCCTGTGCCCGGGGAGCTGGTCCCCAGAGCTGCCCTGTCACCGCTGGGACATCCCTGAGGCCTGTTGCCCGGCAACCACCTGGTGCAACCCAGGGCAACCGCCATCCTGATCTCCCCCAGGCCCGTGTGTTTCCACTGCGTCAGCACTCTCAGCCCCAGGAGCCAGGATGGACCAGCCCAGGGCAGCAGGAGCCTTGAGTCCCATCCCTGGGGGGCAGGCGTGGATCCTCAGTTTCTCCAGCCTCTTCAGTCAAGTGTCACACTGGAGTCCAGTGGAGGCCCAGTGGTGCGTGCCCTCAACCCAGCCACAGGGCGCATAGGACCCCGTCAGCCTGCGGCGTCCAGCCCGGCGCTCAGGGCCTGTCCTTCAGCTGTCAGCCGGAAGCA